TTACTTGAATAGAATGAAGTGTTAAATAAAAATGTTAATAAATGTTGGCTACACAAAGCGAAGCAAAGGATTATGGTCCATGTAGTTCCATGTACAAATCAATTGGCTGGCAGTGAGCTAATTTTTGGAGTGCCAAGTAAAATCCAATACATTGTCCAGTGCAAAATTGAGCATACGTGTCATGTACATATTGACATATACAATTTAAAAATCCTCTTTATCATGCCTCTGCTGCAATATATTCTCGGTTCACGGACTTAGTGTGTCAGCATTTGACATTTTGTGACGAAGCATTGTTTTATTGCTATTAAAATGACATGGCTGTAGTCAGTAATGTGTATTGTAGATTTTGAACGGTGAAAGACACAACTCTCCCCTTTCTCACCTAGTTATTCAACCTGGTGAGAATCCTTCATGAACACATGGACAGTCTTGAAAGTATGTCTAACACATATTGCTTCACTGAATTTCTGCTTTTTGTTATTGCTATATGCACTATTTGCACCGAGTTGTAAAACTGGATAAAGTGATCATTTGGATTTCTATTTACAGACAGGGAAGGTGAGAGGCGGGATACTCGGCCGTCTATTGAGTTTTCCGACCTGGATGACGATTTGGAGGAATATTAAGATGGTGGAAACAGGAAGTTGGATACAGAGGCATATCTCATTTCACTTTCCTCGCTTCCTTCTCCTCGATTCCTCTCCTCGATCCTCCATTTTTCAGCTGTCAGTCAAATGCGCCAGATTAAGTGGTGTCCCGAAAGCTCAGAAGAGACAAGTGAAGGAACCCACAGAGGAAACATGAGGGGGGGTTCAGGAGGCAGACATCAGATAAAATGATGAAACTATATTTGTCTCACTGTGAGGAGCTTGTATTGTTGAGAGTGAAGAGTGAAAGTACAGAGATGGCAGCAAAGGATTTTAGACATGTTGCATTATTCAGAATTTGATAATAAAACTAATAAAAAAAAACATGTTAAAACACATTTATCTGAAACCAAAGATTTAAAGGTGCACTATGTAACTTTTTAGTTGAGGGTTTGTCACCTGCTTGTTTCTATGGATACGTCACTTCTCTGCCTGAAATGTTCCACAGTATGACATTAAATGGCTCTACCTTACTTTTATTGCTCATAAACACCTAGAAATTAGACAGTCTGACAGTGAGCGGAGTTGCTCTGTTGTTGGTTTGTTTTCCAAGAAGATGAAAAGATTTAATGCCATACTGTGAAACATTCCAGACAAAGTAATAACATCTCCATGAAGAAAAGTATTTGATGCACCTTCCACCAGAAAAGGTACACAATACCTTTAACTTTTAAAAAGTTCTGGATTAGTAATATTATAAAGTAATCCTCTAATATTGTAAAGTCATTTTGGTCTCCCTCCTCTGCTCCTTTCCTCTTCTGCTCCTCTCTCCTTCCTGTGTCTCCTCTGCATCTGGGGCTTCCGTCTTCATGAATTCTTTCCTCCATTGTGCAGGAAAGTGGTGAGGAAATGAGGAAAGAGAAATGGGACGCAGCCAGAGAGTTTGACACACGCTTTGACCCAATCTACAGTGGCCGAGGAGGACACTGGGTGCACAAAACATGCCTTTGCTGCTGCCGCTGGTTTTTGCTTTATATGCAAACTAAACATGGGTGTTGATTGATTGAAACGGCTGTATTATTTGAGTGCACTTTATTCTGTTATAATTAAGTATAAATGCAAACTTTTAATTGTTAAACCACAAGTGCTTTAAGCTAATAAATTGTTATGTGACAAACTTTTAATTGGTTCAGAATATTAAGTCTATAATTGTTTTCTTGTCTTGTTCTCTCATACATTTACATGAGCAACAACAATCAACACCTCCTTAACTTTCTGTTTATTTACAATGCTGTATCCTATGTACCTATGTACAAATCTAGTTTCATGCAATATTTTGAGAATAAAGATTTGACAATGACTATGCTGTTGTCACTGGTGTCCCCCTCATATATTCAATGTATTCAAAGGTGAAAAGGAACTTAATCATACAAAATGTTACTTATAACCAATAAGCTCTTCCCACTTTTATTTTTATATAAGTATTTACTATGAGGTTTAATTTTACTGCTGCTACCACACCTGAATGATAGATTTAAAAAGTCTGATACTGCAGAAGCCTTTAACAGGAGGTCAGTGTATTCAGTTTTGTTTTTGTTATTAAGTCCACTGCTTTTCTTATACTTGTGACATTGTTTACCTGGGTTTGGCATTAGAAGTACTCTTTTGATAATGTCATGATCCAAATTTAGGCACAGGCTACATCCTTGTGCTGCAAATGACCAAATAAACAACAAAATAGCTACTACATACATTAGTAATGCTTCCACTGCTGTGAAACAAAAGCAGATTTGGCATTTCTACTGTATAATCCCAATTTTTAGTGGACACTGCAGCCTGAGTTTGCAACTATCAATGGTCCACCCCAGTTACAAAGTACAGTAAAGCACAATTTCCTCAAAATTAAAGGAGTGATATCATTCTCAGATAATGTTTTAAAACTTATACTACCAGTCAAAAGTTTGGACACAGCTTTTCAATGTTTACTTTTTCTACTTTCTACATTTTATATACACAGAGAATATGTTACATGTATGAAGTATGTATGTTGCAAAGACAAAATGTAAATAATATGTAAAAATATTTAGAACAATTATTTAAATCCTCAAAGTAGCCACATTTTACTGTTGAAAAATATTTAGTTATTTAACTTTATTTACTTCATAATTCTTTCATATATTTACTTTCATATATTTGATGTCTTCTGTATGTATCTAAAATGTAGAAAATAGTAAAAAAAAATCCTCTCATTCAGTGTTTTTATTTGTATGTCCAAACTTCTGACTGGTAGTGTATATTACAAATAAACAGGCCCTTTGACAGAAATTTGGGGGCTAGGGGCAATAAACATATGGGCCCCCTCTAATATAAATGAAGCAGAAAATGGTCAAATTCTGGGCCTGGGACAACAGCTCCCTTTGTCCTCCTCCTTCAACTCGCCTGTTGATGAATCAAACAAAAATACAACACTCACACACAGTAGACGAGCTGTTTGAAAGAAAATGACTTTTATTGGAAGGTACCTGATCTGAGCGGGTGGATAAAGTTGATGATATGACCTTGTTAACATGCAGCAAGCACAACCCTGACTGACATCTTTGGTTTGATCAATTATAAAACAACTCATATTTACATTTACAAGGCATTTTCAGTAAACACCAGTGCAATTTTTCAACATCTCTACAAAATCTCTAAAAAGCTCATTGTGCTTCAACATGAGAAATCTGCAGCTTAAAGGTGCACTGCGCAACTTTTCTGGTGAAGGGTCTGCTACCTACTGCTTTGGAATGTTCCATGGTATTACTTTAAACATAATCATCTAACATTTATTAATTACAGGTGTTAATATTGCTCAAAAATACAATCATTCCTTCTGTAAATAATGTAGTATAGTGCTGTAAACTGGTTGTCTCCCTTGTGATAGGTTTAATCCATACTGTGGAACATTCTAGACAAAGCAATAACATTTCCATGAAGACAAGCAGGTGGCAGGCCCTTCACTAGAAAAGTTACGCAGTGTATCTTTAACACAATAAAGTGCTCTCTTTCCCAGTAGTGCATAGCAAATAGGCATATCCACTGTACATACAATACACAGGCTTATTATAACAATCAGAATTTTAAGACCGTGTCCCAAAGTAAATCAGTATTGAATTATAGAAACCTTTAAGATTACAAATACAAAGGCACAATCAGTGGGATTTTTTCATCCATGGCTGTTAATTCGACTAGAAAATAATATCACGTTTTTGGAAGAGTGCAACTTAAAACAGCATTAGCCAATACAGTGTCAATACAAAGTTGATAGAAAAAAACAGTGTGTGTTTCTTGGCGTATCAGTGAAGAAAACAAGGGGAGTATCAGTAGTAATAAGAAAATGTTAAACTAAAATCCCCTTTCAAATACTGTTACTTTTGCCATTACAATTATTATGGTCAGTTATCCCTGATAGTTAGTCACTTTCTTCAGTGCATGAAAAACCCTGGGACATTTATAGTACATTGTTAAAGGTGCATTGTGTCACTTTTCTGGTGGAGGGTCCGCCACTTGCCTGTCTATATGGAGATATTATTGCTTTGCCTGGAATGTTTCAGAGTATGGCATTAAACCTTTCTACACTGCAAAAAAAAAAACTTACTTAAAAGTTCTGAAATTATCTGTCCATGTAGCAAGATAATTATAAAGTTATCTTAAAATAAACTACCTCTAGATTAGAATTAAACAGTCTCAGAACTAGTAAGTAAATAATAAATCTTAAAACAAGCTCAATAACCTGATATAAATTTTAAAATCTTGGCCAGATCAGACAAATTTGCAGTGTATCTTCATGGAGACCAAACCAGGCCAAGTTACAGGTCAGATTTGTGGAGCGGCAACCCAGAATGCCTATTTTTCTAGGTGTTTTGAAGCAATAAAATCACCTGTAATTTAATAAATGCATAGTAGATCTGTTTAATAATTGAATAATAATTGAATAATTGAATAAATAATAATTCCCATACTGTGGGATATTCCAAGCAGAACAATGACATGTACAGAAGCACGAAGATGACGGACCACCAACCTAAAGTTACACAGTGCATCTTTAAGGGACCCCACTAAATAAAAATGTATTCACAGCTCAATATTTACAGTTATACACACAACTCTTCTTCAGCTGGGTCAAAAATAAATAATTTAAAATCGAAAAGGCGTTTGCGATAGTAGCTCTTGTTTTAAGTAAATCTTAGTTTGATGCGTGGCTGCTTCACTCCGGATCAGTGACGATACTCGTGGAGTCCGTCTGGTCATAAGTCCGTTTGTAGCGCACGGTGGTGCTGAAATGGTGGCGCTTTTTCTTGTACACGACAAAACCAACAGCGAGAAGCAGCAGCACGAGGATGAGGATGAAGAAGACCGCAGCCACAGGTGTGCCTTTACCTGAACAGAGAGAGAGAAGTCAGTGAAAACCAGTGACAGAGTGGCATGTATAAAATGCCTTCTGCAACTATTTTCAAAACCTACAACTGGATGGCGTCATAGGGGAAGGCAGTCTTGTGTACCTTTTTTTTTTTAAATTATTATTATCCCAATAACAATATTATGGCAAACCAAGAAGTTAAGGGACTTCTCATTGTTTCGTATGTTTTTTATATCACCTGTATGTTTGTTTTTACTCTAAACCATAAAGATAAAGATATCTGTCTCTCTCTCTATCATCAGAAATGTACTAAAATGTGATTTTAAATGTATTTAGTTTTATGTGCATAACAATATTAATGCTGCCGATGTGTCTAGCTGAAAGACACAACACCTAGGCCTGTAACAATTAATTACTGTATTGATTTATCATTCAGTATATGAAAGCTGGAACAATATATTTTGGGGCTGAATATTTATCGTGTGTCAAATTTCCTTGCAAAGGAAACACTGAGGACATTTTTGTAATTTTTTTATGTAATAAGGTAAGATTTGAGTTGTAGAGAATACAATAACTAACTTCTGTGGCTAATTGTTCTTTGTCCGTTTCTTCTTCTCTATTGTTATTTTTCCTAGTAAACGATTGAGTTTTTGAGGGACTAAACGTTGATGAAAAGTCCCTAAAGCAGGTATGGGAATGACTGGTCCGGTAAAAAATATGACAATACCCAAAGTAACCGGGGTCAACAGAGCTGCCTAGAAATGGACCCCTATGGGAGTTAGGCCTAGACAAACGACAAACCAAAGACAACCCAAATCGAATTGGTGCATACCCCTATGATGAACAGAAATCTGGCCATATTGGATTAAAAATTCACCACTGTTTTGTTTTCGTGTTTGCAAAACATTACTAGTCCCTGGTTTTTGGTCTAAATTTGGTGCGCCACACCTAGAGACATTTAATTTAAAATGATCAGTTTTTTGGGGATATTCCTTATGGTTTACTTGTAGCACGCAAGCAAAAAACACCTTAATTTCTTTGATGACTTTTCAAGCCCACAGTAGACATTGGTCTAGAGAGCTTAAATTCAAATCACAATTGCGTGAGCCTGGCCAGAATATAACGGACTATGAAGTCTAATACAACTGAACACTAATAGTACCCCCTACCATAGACATGCAAGGTCTACATTATTGGGGGTATTTTTCACAGTTGATCAGCGAGGTGCAGAGATAAAAAAAATAAAAATAAAAAATTTCAAGGTGCACTGCGTAATTTTTTTGAGGGAGGATCTGCGCCTGGGCACGTGGGAGGGGCGTACCTGCCGGGGCGAGGGCCATCATCGCCATGGGCAGCTTTAATTATTGTTTAATTCTTCTATTTATTTGTTGCAGCTCAGGCCTTTTACTAATACTGTCTAATTAAAAATGGTTTATACTGGGATTATCCTGCTTTGTGTCAGTAGTTGAAAGTAGTTTCGATATTATTGTTTCTCTCAATATTTCTCTGTAGCGATATATCATTCTTAAAATTTGTTATCCTGACAGGCCTAGCAACAGCAGTATTCACTTATCTGAACCACTGCTACCCCAGTATAGCTCTGAGCATTCCCAATGGTCTCCCATCCAAGTATTAACCAGACTCACCCCAGCTTAGCTTCAGAGATCAGACAAGATCAGGTATTGCGAAGGTTGTAAGGCTATTTGTATATCAGACAAAAGGGAAAGAACGGTAAAATGAGCCACAAAAATGCAGAAATATCCCTTTATGTGCTATTGTTTGAAATATTAGAATGTATGTTTAAATGGTGGGCGAAGGAATGTTATACATGTATTTAAAAGTAATAATTATGCCAAATGTCCATGTTATTAGTGCCATAAACATAAAAATAACACTGTTTCTAAAAAAGTGTATCACAGCAAAACGATTACAGCTAAAATTTGAATCCACAATCAATCACGTGCAAACCCACTCCCTAAGCACACGCGTCAAAGCAGCCGTCTCGAAGAAAAAGTAGGCCATTTCACAGCAGTGCCGCTCTATTCCTCTACAGACCATACATTTAAATCAACATGAAACAAGTTCAGTGGTTGGATGTGTTTGAAATCACATTTTCACTGGCCCAATTTACAGTAGTACAAGGCTTCTTCTCTGTCAGCAAAGCCCAAAGCTGCCACAAGCAAGAGTGTGCAGAATTATAAGCAATGAAGTATGTCTATAGGGAAGTTTAATAGGTACACTGGCTTATGTAAATAGCGTATTAGGCCCAAAGTAATAACCAAGAATCAGAACAGGAAAGAAGAGTAGTGCATCTTCTTTTTATAGGTACAAAAAAGCTACACAATAAATAGAATGTATGATCATGTAGGTACCTGGATGACACTGATGTAAGATGTATCTATTCAATAACATTACAGTGAGAACAGCGAGTACTAGTTTATCAGTTTTCAGTCTTCTCTCAAATGTTAATGCTCCTGGAGTCATTTATCACTATTCACTTTGAACAGAATATACATTTTTTAAACATATATTGCAAATATATTCGTAATTGCAATTCTTGTTAGAAAAGTAAGTTGATTTTTTTCCAATATTTTGCAGTGATAAGGAGGGTAAAGTGTCTTACTCAAAGACATAAAAGCTGCCTGCATTGGTTATATTGTTTCATTCATAACACAACATTTCCAAAGCTCAAAATGCTCTGCTCCAACTTGTGATGTCATGAAGCTGTACTTTTTAGGTTAACAGCTCCATTTACCTTTAGTTCAGCAGAGATTAGCAATCAGGACTGAAATTATCCAAATGTATGGATCTTAAAAACACACTGGAGCACTTCCTGTATTACCACATGACATCACAAAGTGGAACAGAGTGTTTTCTGTTTGAGAGAAGAACTCAGCCTAAATACGAAGGGTTTGTGTGTTAGACTTGTGTGAATAAAACAAAACACAACTCCAGATATGTTTGTGATGAAGAAACAACTTCATAACATATTTAAAAATACATAATATAGCCCCTTTAAGAGTTACTTGTGTCCTTGTACTTACTTGCTTTGGTTTGACACACAACTCGACTGCGTATTGTTTCACAGTGGACCAGCTTCCAGGTCCCTTCGTCGGCAGTGCTCAAGATGGCGCACTGGTTTGGTCCCGCTGCTTTGGCCAGTGCCTCATTTTTCCAGTTTGAGTACTCCAGAGTCGTGCCATCATGCCAGGACAAAGGTTTATCTAAAACATTTTATCATTTTGTCAGAACCATTGAACAAAATATATATATTACGTTCTTATTTACAGGTTAGAATAGGCTACGTACTTTCAGTGCTAGGGTTGATGCCAAGCCAAGTTCTGCTGGTCACTAGAGGATCGTCAGAAATGTGTTTGGTAACAAAGTCATTCTCCTCTCTGCTCTTTATGGTCAATAATTCAGCATCTGTGGGCAGGGTACAGCAATGAGCAATACAATTAAATTAATACTGATATAGATTATTTTTTTCATGTCCAAAAATGGTTTGTTAGATAAGGTAAAATGGCAAGTGTAATAGCTTTCACTTGATGGACCATATTGGCTAGATGACTTGGCCAGTGCATCTCTAAAACTGCAGCTGTTGTGGGGTTGTCTACTTTTGCAATGATGAATTTAATGTTGATTATTATAGAGATACATGGGACAAAAAAGGGTTGAACAACTTTTTCAGTGCAGACAGCAACATTTAAAATCTAGGGAGCATTCACACTTGAGGTAAGACTGAAAATAAATTATGTAACTTAAACAACTGCTGTGTATGTGATATTGCTATTATACAAAAATAAAAGTGCTGTTACTTCAAACTTTGAGAAACAGTACTACCAAAAGTACTAAAGTCACAAGTTTAGCCCAAGAATACAACAGCAGAGTGCTCTGTTTTGAACCTGGGATCTAACCCCTAACATTGATGACAGCTTCCTCCACTACCTGCTCACTGCTACAAAAAGTAACTCATACGATATAACTCATGGCCATAACAAAGATAACCACTGATAACAGATAGAGTAGAAGGTCATAATGCGTTCTTAGATTAAAGATGAACAAACTGACCCAGACTGTTGCAGATGCTCTTGGCGTTCTCCATGTTGAACACGCTGTAGTTGTAGAAGCTCATGTCAAAGGCGTAGCAGTGCTCCTCGTGCTGCACCCACAGAGACCCTCCATCTTTCTGAGGACACCTGTTTGAGGCTGGGGCTGCCTGCAACCGGGCTCCTGGGTCACACAAGAAACAAGCAGAAAAGATAGACATATTTGTCTCTAGTATAACAATTCCAAAATCTAAATTATCCATGATTTTTAGGTGCCTTCCCATTTTCAAACCTATAACTTAATTATTAAAAGAAATTACTCTTGCGAACATCTTGTTTTGCAGGCAATATATTTATTTTGAGTGAACTACCCTTACCAAATAAATTGGATTGAAAGCTTGTACCGAGACTGGTACAGGATTCAGAAGGATTTTCTGGATCAGGTATTAATTCAAAATATTTGAGGGTTTGGTAAGTAAGAGCGCAAAGGTAAAGCTAAAAACTAAAAATAAATCATTTGCATTTTTGGATCAGTTCATAAATTTTGAGGAAAGAATCAGCTTGAATAGAGTAATGGTGTCTACATGACCTATTATATTAACATATATTTAAAACTATAACATGTTATATTGATATATGCCCACTAACCTGTATCTGGCTATAAACTAATATGATTATTGATCATTATAATAAACTATAATTATGGTCTTAATAAATCTTAAACCCCAAAATGCTCTTACTCTGAGAGGTTGTGGTCATGTTGGTAGTGTAGCAGATGGCTCCCTCGGTCACAGTTTGGCAGCTGCTCTTCACCCATTTTCCGTCCGGAGTCACATAAACACAGCGTGCTTCTGGACCGGGTGAGCTGGAGGTGGACTGAGGTTCGGTGATGGTGGGTGTGTAGTTCCGAGGAGTGCCATCGGACCACTCAAAATCAGTTCCACCAGTCTACAGCAAAAAAAACATCAGTTAAACCAGGCAGGTGCAGGGAGTACTACTTTAAAGGGTGAAAACATGCATAGCACACTCAAATGGCCAATGTCCAAAAGCTTTTTATTTTTATTTTTAAATAACGTTTCTGCAAAAAAGCCTTTGACAGATCATTTTTTCTTGCTTTGGACCACAGTATACAAAGTGGTTGCCAGCCCAGGTGCTCATATCCTCTCCAACAAATGGGAGGTCCACTGGAAAATAATTTATAATCTATAATGAATAATGTTTCTGACAAACAACTGCGATTAGATTTGCAAAATATGTTTAAACAGTAGGATTCTGTTCAGAATGAATATTGTACAACATCAGCATTTGAGCAAAGACTGAAATATGATCTGATCAGTTACTACAAGAATCCCATGCATTTCAGAACATGTTTGCAGAGGTCCGTTTGAATCACCAGTAGAAGATTTGTATTATATTTTTATGATATTTTGCTCTTTCTTATTGTCTAAATAATTGCTGGCTTCATAATTTCATAATTGCATCAATTCAAATTGTGATTTCGATTCAGCTGCGAATGTGCAGCCCCACTACTTTATAAAGGCAGAGAATTATTAATTGCTTAACTGGTAGGGATGTAACAATAACCGAAATATCGTGATATAGTATTGTCAAAACTCCCAAAATAATATTGTCACAAGTTATCAAATTACAAATTCCTTTGCTTAAATGCATCGTTTTAGGCAGTTTTGCAGACAACATCAAGAAATATGTTTATTACTTAAATTCTTAGGATTATGACACTGCACCTAAATCTTGTCAAGGTATTTTAAAAGCAAAAAAGTATCCTGTCTACTATTATATTAGCCTGTCCAAAATATCACGTTAAATATCGTACTATAAGATGCATATCGTTATATCGTACTGAGAGATTTGGATATAGTTACATCCCTATTAAATTCATTTGATTTTAGTTTGGATACAATATGATTTATTAGACATCCTTCCTGACCCAATTCTCACCATTTGTCTGAACTGCAGTCCAGTGTTCATTCAAAACATTCAATAAGTGCATGCATTGATTTCTTTTTCTATATTACCAAAGGTACATTTGCTGTCTTGAGAAACATCATGTTTTGAAACAGGGTCAGCCACTGTGTTTTGAATAAATTTTTTCTATTTAATATTTAATTTGTACTTTAAGTAACTTGTTTGTGAAATACATTTGTAGTACTCATTGTTGACTAAAAATAAAAGTAGGTTCAAACAGGTTTTTCTAGCATATTTTAATACTGTGTAAATACTTTTGCCCGTTTCTCTCAGTCAGATATCAGGCAGATAACTTCAAAATACAATAATGCAAATGAAAAACCTCCTACATAACTTCCTAGTTTATTTAAAGTTTAAAGGTGCATTGTGTAACTTTTATGGTGGAGAGTCTGTGAAATGCTTTTCTTTATGGAGTTGTTTCACAGTATGGCATTAAACCGTTCTATCTTCATGGAGACCAAACAAGACAACGTTACAGGTCAGAATGCCTGTTTTTATAGGTATTTTTGAGCAGTAAAATCACATGTAATTGAATAAATAAGGTAAGGTAAGGTAGATCTGTTTAAGGCCATACTGCAGAACATTCCAGGGCAGGCAGAGCAATATCATATCTGTAGAAACAAAAAGGTGACAGACCCACAACCGAAAAGTTACACAGTGCACAAATGCAATGCTTTTTCAGTTATTCTTACATCTTGGCTGGACAGTCCGATCCAGAGAGGGAAGCCGTCTGTCTTTGCAATGAGGTTGATGTGAGCATCGTGTTGGAGGTCGTGGACACTGGCCAGGTGACCACCGCGTCGCCCACACTCCTCCAACGCCTGGAACCAGGTGAGTTTCTGGGGCAGCACCTGGTATGTCAGGTTACCATAGCGCTGGAAGTCAATGACTGATGTGTTGTACTTTTTCTTTTCATCTGAGAAAATCAACAGTATAAAAAAATGTGAATTAAATGTAGCATAATTAAAACTATGTGTGATGTGATGAAGTGATGTAAAATGAAAACAGTTATCACTACTGGATTTCATAGTATCATCTTAGTGAACTAAAAGGAGCACTAGGAAAATTCTTAGCTTGGAATGTTCCACAGTGTAACTTTAAACTTGTACATCTTGTATTTCTTCAAGTTGCCACTCCACTTATCTGACCTGTAACTTAACTTATAATATAAATAATTAACATAAACCTACTGTACATAAACTAAACCAAGATTAATGTAAATTAAAGCAAATTTAATTAAAGAAATTCTAGACCAGTTCAGAAGCTGAAATAAACCGTAAAAAAAAATTAATTAAACGGACCAAATCAGCTGTCTCCAAATTAAATCTAAAATATATTTAGAATCACAACTGTGGCCTGTGATGAGTTTGTGAGACCCCCACCTTTGTCCAGTTTGCAGGCCACAATCATCTTTTGCTTAAACTCCTGGAAATAGTTCCTGTTGGTGATGAAGAACCAAACTCCGAAAGTGTTGAGTCCCGCTAAGAAAGGTTTGTCAACGTCCACTCTGCCAAATTTCCAGTTATTATATTGAACATTGGTGCCATCGAACCACTTCATCTGGTCATCTGCAGAGGAAAAAGATACATTATGTAAGCTCTGTTATCTAGTGTCAGGCAAATTTACCAAAATGTTTAATATTTGCTTTATTTTTGTCAATGTCTATGCTTGTAAATGCAAATAACAAAGAGGCATGTAGTGTATAATATTTATATACTAATAATATATTATTATCTTTTAAGACAAACACAATTTTTCATTGACATGGTAAGATGTGCATCCTGTAGATCTTTATACGCACCATGCACCAACTGTAACTTGGAAAACAGTTGGGACCTTATCCATGTTATAATGTTGTTTCCTTATCAAAAATATACCAGGTTGTATTTTTGTTTTCATTCACACCCCAAACCCTTTTGAGCTTGGTGACGTAGACATACTAATAATACAGGGTTTCTCAAACATGTGTGAATGAAACGAAAACACAACTTTGGGCATGTTTTGATGAGGTAAAAATATTATAACATGGCTTAAACTCACAATAGTCAAATTTCCGTAATATAGGACCTTTAACTATTTAAGTGACTTTCTACACGTTATATTTAATAAATCTATAATAAATACATGTTTCAAGACAAACCATTGTCATCTTTGAACATGCCCAGCCAAATGAACTGCACAAGGCTTCGGAAAGGGGCAAGCTGCTGTTTGATAAACTCATTCTCCTCTGCGTCTCTGATGGTCAAGACGGTAGCATCTTCATCTGAAAACACAAAGGACATGTTATCAAAAACATGCCACAAACAGTTACAAAAAAGACCAAGACTTTAACAATCACTGTCAAAATATCAAAAAATCTATTGTATCTCTCTGGTAAAAACACAGTGTACTTGATAAGCATGAAGGTTGTATGGCTTGAAGGATTAAAGCTTGTATGATCTGTCATGTTTGTGTCATTATTTTTGTTTTAATAACTACCAATGTTGTTTGTAATGTCAAAATAATATTAATTTCCTAAATGATACCAGAAATGTGACTTATGTCTTGCAAAAGTGTTTTATGGTTTGGAAAGCAAAAGGAGGATCATCAAGCTGTAATCTAGTATTGTTTATGTGCCATAAAAAAACAACTAAAATGTATAATATAGAAACAATTATAAAAGAAAACCTTCAGTAATGGGTTTTCTAATTAAATCTTACATTTACAGAGCACCATAAAACAGAGTGGACCCTTTGCTATACAGAGGTAGAGACTTACGCAGGTTTTTGCAGGTCTCTCGGGCCTGTCCTTTGTCAAACTGCTCCCATCTGGAGGACACCAGCTGCAGCGAGTAACAGTTGTTTTTGAAGGGGATCCAGTTGGCACCATTGATTTTATGAGGACACTTCACTGCAACATCGTCTGGTGTCGAGATGGTGTCTTCTGTAAAATATGAGTATATTAAACTTGTATTGGATTTAATTTAATAAAATACTATTTATGTTGTATGAAGGAATGTTGTAAATCTTGGCATTAAAACAGTTTGTAATTTTTTTTTCTATCTTTGTCTTTGTATTGTATAATTAAAGATCCAAGACAAGTCTAACAGTCATGCATGTTTGGGCAATCTTTATTTGTTTATTTACAAGATACCGATCAATCCCAGTTTTCACCACCAGGGTGTGCTCCCTCTCCTCAGCACTTACTTCCTTTGCCTTTTATTTTCTTAATCTGTGATACGCGCATGATTCGGCAGTGCTATGTAGTTATTTTGGTACCAATGAACACCTCTCTAGCGCAATGTGCAGCTATCCATCGGAGGTGCCGATAATTTCACCACTCTGTGATGATGTTTACTATGACAGCAGCTCCCATTTTATTACATCACTTTAGATGAATAATGCAATATAAAATGTAAAAATTATGACCTAAGGCTCCAGGGGTGTCACAGATTATACTTATACACCAGACACAAGCACAATAGGTTGTCTTTAATGTAAAAGTATAATTATGCTCTTACCATGTGGCTTGTGGCACACTGCTCCTCCCAGCTTCTCCTCACACTCCATGGTTTTCCATAATCCATCAGTGTCAATGTAAACACAGGAGCCCCCATTAGCATCAGGGGCCCAGCGGCTGAACACTGTGTGACTGTGGTCTGTCCAGCGGTAGTGGACTCCCTTCTGTGATTAAAATGATACAGTACTAATGAATGATCACTAATGTTTGTACAGTACAGGCAAAATAAATGCAAATAAATTAGATAAAACATTGACACTCCAGTAGTGTTTTGTTTCATTCACACATCTTTAACACACCGACCCTGAATTCTATTCAGACTGAGGTCCTCTCTCAGACAAAAAACACTCTGTTTCACCAAGTAATACATGAAGTGCTTTCACTTGAACCATTTGGATACTTTCAGCCCTGGAATTGCTCATCTCTACTGAAGAAAAAGTAAAAAGTAGCTGTTCACATGAAAACTACAGCCTCATGATATCACAAGGTGGAAGAGAGCATTTTGACAGACTAATAATAGGTTACAGGTTACTCAAACATGTGTGAATGAAACAAAACACAACTCCAGGTATGTTTCTGATAAGGCAACGACAGTCTAATATGGCTTAAATTTAGCATAATATAGGACCTTTGAATTGCATTTGACATATAAAGCTACACCATCAAGTACCATCTCTATAAAAAGGAGAAGTAAATCTAACTTAAAATTATACTGTCATTATGTAGTCATGCTTGAGTATTAACATAGCTAACTCAATAGGGTAAAGATGATGCTGATTTTTGTGGAATTTCCCCAACCATTGTTATACATACACATCCCAAATCAACAATTCAGTGTAATAAAAGATGTTAACTTGATGTTGGCTTAAACATGTGCTACATAAATAAAAGCCATTAATACTTTATAATTAAATAACAATTAAAGATTTAATTAGACTTGCACTTACGTCTTCACTAAATAGGCCGATCCACATGGGTGTACGGGCCCTGTTCACATGCACCACGAGGCTGGACTGAAGGATAGCATCTGAAATACTCGCCAGCTCCATCTCGTTCTCATTGCACTTTTCCAGAGCTTCAAACCAGGTCAGATTTTGGAGAAGAAGCAAAACTGTGTGGTTCCCAATGTTAAAGGATTTGGACGGGACCTGTGGCTCTTCCATTTTGTCTGAGAGGAAAATAAAATAATTATATTTATTACTTTCAATGTTTATATTGGTACATGGATACATTTGAATGTACTTTAAAGATCCTATATTATGACATTTTTTGATCTATGTTATAATGTTGTTTCATTTACACAAATCCTGCATATTTAGGATGAGTTTTTCTCTGAAACAGAAAACACTCTGGTCCACCTTGTGATGTCATGTGGTAATACAGGAAGTGTTCCAATGTGTTTTTAAACTCCATACTCCATATTTATGTTGTAAAGCCTGACCAAGTCTTAAAATATTTACATGTAAAAACAATTCTTATTATTTATTTTCTGTTACAGTGAGGGAGTTATTTTCTGTCAATATTGTTATTAGCTCAGTAAAATGACAACGCATGTGAAACAGACGTGGACCAAATGTAACATAATGTTCTCCTAATTATTAAATTTTCTTATTTTAGAGTACAGATCTGAATACAGATAAGGGAGGAAGCGAGCCCATAATCTAGCAATCTATACATGGTGTGGTAGTGCTGTGTTACCTGCATAGTGTTGGCAGTAGGCCAGTGGTTGAGAGTCTCCACAGGAAGTGAAGTCCCAGGATCCCATCAGGTCAGAGTGTGGATTATTGTACATAAAGGCACATAGATCCATGCTCTCGGCGTCAAATTGCTACAACAAATTTTCAAATTAGACTTGAGTGTTCTGAGAGGATTCATTCAGGTCTGAAAAAAGCACTTACATTGATTGTTATGGGCTTGACCATGCCGTGAAGCAAAGGGTTAAAGTTGACAAAGGACACTGAAGAGTCATCCACCCATTTCTGTTGATTTGGACGAAGCCTCAAACCAAGCCATGTGAAGTTCATGTCTGTTCTCGTGGCCAAGATGCTGGTGATGAAGTCTAGAGACAAAAATAAATAATAAACTTTTTTTTTTAGTACTAAAAATAATAATAATAATAATAATAATAATAATAAAATATAAAAACTTTGCAAACCAATTTTACAGCAACTTTATCAATATCAGTGTCAATTCAGTAAATGCATTAGACAAAGGGGTGATAACTAATGCTTTTGTTTCAATGGCAACAAATCTGGAAATATTTTTAGTGATCAATGTATAACTAATTCGTATATATTATTCACAGGTTAATTAATAAATAAAAAAATAAGCAATAAGTATAAGCATTGAAAAAAAACATTAAATTCCTACATCACAGACTGAATACTTGTGAGGCCATTGTTATCACATTTTAACTGGTATTTTCAAAATTTAGCTATTCGGTTATCAAGAAAATGCTCTCCAAATCTGCCTTTAAAGTTACCTTGTTCTACTTGATCTGTTATAGTGAGCATAGTTCCTCTCACAGATTGGCACTCTTCAACAGCAGACTTAAAAGATCTGGGTTTGGGGTTCTTCATTTCTATGTAACACTAAAACAACAAAAACAACATAAAATAGTTTTGATATTTTAACAGCTGGGAGTTTAGTATCAAAAATGTGTTTTCCAGGGTCAGACCTTGTTCCTGAAGGACAGAGAGTTTTCACAGGGCAGTCCCAAAGGCTGTGGCTTGTATGGGTTTTTTTCCACTGATGTTACGTTCACTTTCTGACATACAAAAGGCAGCCGTGTTCTGCAGGACACGTCGTATTCTGAAAAGATTCAATTGCAATTAGTGAATGCCATTTAAACATCCTATATTACACAAATCTGAGCGTTGTGAGCTTTAAGATATATTATAATACTATTACCTCCTCAAAAACATATCTGGACTTGTGTTCTGTTTCATTCACACATATTTGAGTAATCCTTTATTAGTCTGTCTACATCTCCAAAACTCAAAATGCTCTGTTCCACTTTGTGATGCCATGTAGTGGTAGCTTTCATGTTAACAAGTACCATTTACATTTACTTCAGTAGAGATTTGCAGTTCCAGGGCTGAGATTATTCAAATTATTCTCGTGAAGGTGTATGGAGTTTAAAAACACAGTGGAGCACTTCCTGTATTACCACATGACATCACAAGGTGCCTAAATATGCAGGGTTTGTGTGTTAAACATAAAGTTTTAGCTGATAAGTCTAGAGGTTTTGTAGTTTTTTTGCATTACGCACCTGGAAATACGTTTTCACCATTGATACTTGAACATCTCCCCAGGAAACGAGAATTATAGAAGAACAGCCCAGAGTATCTGTAATGCGTACATTGCATTTAGCAGCAAATCAAATATGTAAAAGTATTCATTACTAATGCAAACACTTACGTCATAGGGTAGAGATGATGTGGATCTTGCATATCAATCCACCACTTTTGTCGTGTAGGTTGTCCAAGTAAATCCTGTACCAAACATGCAAATCCCAAATACAAAATAAATTATTGGCTTAAACAGTTGCAAGAAAATACAGTATCGTTGAATAAAAAGAGTTGATTTGAAAAAAGGAAATTTTTGCCACTGCATTGTATAAATAACATTGAAACTAAAGTTGAAAGAGGAAATTACTAAAATTACTGGGGTTTTTTGCAGTGATATTTTGGCTGAGTAGTCAGGGAGATTACTCACTTCGTGCAGTTTTTGGTGGATTTGCCGAGCGGCGGTGAAGCTCGGGGGTGAGGCCAGAGTACTGTTTTTCTCTTTACAGTAAAGCTTTGCCTCTTCAAAAGTCAAACGAGGCTCCGTCACAAACCAGAACTCATCTTTATCAATGAAGATGGATGTCTCATGGTGGCCCTCTACAAATCAGAATGATAATAATTTCACATGTTAGAAGTTCAAACTTAAATCTGTAGTTAAAACAAAAAATAAATAACATAATTTGGGCAAATAGCAAAGGTACCCTATAAAACTTTTTTGAAGGAGTGCCCTGCATGTTTCTTTGTATGGCATTTAACTTATCTATCTCCATGTAGACAAGCAAGTTTTGCCACCAGGCCAAATTACAGGTTAGATCTATGATGTGTTTTTTTTTTTTCAAGGGATTATTTCAGTCATACAACACGATGATTGAGTAAATGCAAGAAAGATAAGTTTAATGTGATACTATAGAATATTCCAGGCAAATCTAAAACATCTCCACATTATACATTGCACATGTAAAATTATAAACAATATTATAATAATATTACCTGGATTGTACCACTCTGGTGTCTTTAGCGTCTTTCCTGAAAGAATAAGTATAATTACATTAGTAAACTGAATAGATGTATTTTGCACTTTTATCAGCATGTTGTGAGCCATATAATGTAAATCTGCCAGAACCGTGCTCCAATTTTTCCTCCTCTCACCTCGGGGTATTTGGCAGACCCACTCCAACTTGGCATCACAGTGAAATGGTGTCACATAGAAAGGTATGGGTTTGACGTCGTGAAGCAAAAACACAAACAAGTGTTTCAAGTTGCTTTTCATTGTCTAAACAGAAAGAGATCATATCTATTAAACACAAGGGATGTATACATTAATTTTGCTGTGTTAGTATTATTATATAATATTTGTTAGTATTGTATAGTTGTCACACAAGCCACAATATCCATGTAGATATCGCATACATGGTCAAAATATGTAAATCAGAAACAGTGAGACTTTGAGCACATATGGACAGCTTTTTATTAATTTAACAAGATTGGACTTGAGTGAAAATGTATGTTTGTTTTCCCAGGGTTTTGTGTGTGTGTGTGTGTGTGTGTGTGAGTGCGTGCGTGTGTGTGTAGTTTTGTAAAGTGTGGAGAAAGGGGTGGGGTGTGGGAGTTTTCTTTTTGTTGTTGTATGTTGCCATGTAAAATATCAAAATTGGGGGAAAAAATTTAATAATAAAAATCAAGAATGAATTTAAATATGTCTCATTATCAAGCTGCTGTAACTATTAGATGTGTTACAGCTCTTCGTCAAAAATATAAAACAGACTCACTACACCAAATGTTTCAGCTGCTTGACTCATGACTACCACAAACATCTATGCTGCAGGACACAGAGGAGAGACACTTTTGGCTCTTCCTCTCCTCAAACTGCCTTGACACAGATCTGCTGATCCCACCTGACCAGTCCTCCTGTTAAACTGCACTGAAACCTTTAAATGAGACACAGATGCGACTGAGAAGCGCAGGGTAAAGGTTGCTGCAGCAAAACTTGAATACTCTGTCTCTCCTTCTCTGCGTCTGTGTCTCTCTCTCTCTAAGCAGAGTCCAGATTCAAACAGCTTGTTCACAACAGTCAAAAAAAAGCAACAACTATCTATAATGATAATAAGAAGAGCAGGGGTCCAAAGCAAACTAACATAACACATTTTAATTCAGTAAGTGTGAAAAATTGCCCTTCATTTGTGATTTTAAGTTAACACATTCTATAATACATGACATATTTCTACATTATATCCTGAATAATAGGAGCAGTATTAAATACTTAAATAATATCTCCAGACTTGAAAAGCTATTAAAAAAAACCCAAGCATTTAAAAAAAAAAAAAAGGTCTTATACAAACCTTAAAGGCAGTGCAGTCGCGGCTGTAAGGATCATTCACATGGAAATCTTGATGTAAAATATCAAGGGACACCTGAAAACACAAACAAAACACAAACAAAATATTTACTCTTAGTTTAGTTTTACATATGTATGTGTAGCCACACGGCTCACTCACTGGACGACCATTGCTCCACTGCCACGAGCGAGTAGCTGGATTCCTCCTGTTCAACCCAACCCAGAAGAATCGGTTGTCACTGAAATAAAATAAAGTTTAAGATAATGTAGATCATGTATTTTTTTTATCTTAATGTTTGTTTCACTGTTTTCTCCTTACGACCTCTTATATACAGCTGAGAGATATATTTGTATTCTTTTATTTCTATAATTTTTGTTATTACCATTTATATTTTTTTTCCTCTTTGTTATTATATTATATTGTGACGTGTGAGCTGCTGTGTCCAAATAATTTCTCTTGTGGATCACTGAAGATTGTCTAAGTTTAAGTCTGTATAGAAGCATGTACAAGTTGTCAAGGGACAATATAACAAACAAAAAAATTCACATCATGATTTCCTAAGTCACGATTTTATTAAAACTATAATCATGTGAGAATAACTCCCTTTTTACATTAAACTCACCTAATGGTCTCCCTCATGATGCTGTGCAGGGCTCTCATCTCAGCCAGATGAGCGAAGCTGGCCAGGTTTGCCCCCAGAGCCTGACAGAAGTTCTCCGCCTCGGCCCACGAGCGCTTCTGGCTCAACCTTTCCTCATGAAACACCTGGGGAAGAGAGGATGGGGGATTTTTTATGTCAGATTTAAAGATCTGAACTGTAAATGTAGCTCATTATTTATATTATATGGTTATATCTTTGAATTACATTTTTATTTATGTAGATGTGAGCCTGTGATCTGATTCCTGTGACGATATGTTATTTATTTTGGTGAGATTATTTACCAACCTCTGTAAAGCTCTGAATGACTGATGGGGGGAATATAAAGTAAAAAATAATTATGATATTACATTTTGGCATATATCGATCATCACTAAATAGCAGTAGTAACTGATACTTTGCAGTCGATGTCATCAACATTCCCTGGTGGGGTGATGCTAACTGTAAGCACTGCTGTATCTGAAGCTTGTTAGACTTTAATCTGAGATTTATTTTAACACAATATGACAAGAATGAGCGAGATGATTTCTGCTGTTAAACAAGTCCCTCTCATAACATTATAGTGACAAACAAGCTTTCATTAGCCAAAAATTGCACCTGAAAACTTAACACCTAAACTGGACCATAAATGCTCATATTCGTCACACATCACAGGCTCCTGAAAATTTCTCTTGTGTTTCAGACAAAGTTTTTAGCAGTGTTTTCTAATGTGCACATTGCATCACCATGGTAATTAATAATTAACAAATAATTTCCCTTGTGGATCAATAAAGTTTCTCTAAGTCTAACATTCCACCACAGAGATACATGTAGGACATCCCCAGCATCAATAGCAGATGTAACAGCAGCTCTACCACACCTTGTAGCAGTTTCTAATATTTGGTTTTGATGTCCAGCCGCTGGGACACTGGGCGCTGTCATCTGGCTCTGGCTCTGGCTCAGGGGCAGGACCCAGGTCTCTTCTACAAATGGTGCCTGCTTTGAAAAAGGCACAATCCTTCACCCTCCAACTGCCCAGAGGTTTTCCTGTTGACATCACCACACAGCCTCCATCTGCACCTAAAACACAACCATGTTTGAATCTACAGATGAATATTGATACTTCGCAGCTAATGTCATCAAGATTCCCTGGGGGTGTGATGCTAACTGCAAGCTCTGCTCTGTTTGAGGATTTATTACTGCTTAATCTGTGCTTTATTTTAACAAAGAGAACTGGATTAGCTGGAACTACAAGTGGAGAGCTGATATGTGCTGTGAAACACTCACACATAAAATTGCAGTCACAAGCTCGCTAGCATTAACCAACAGTTTTTTAGTTAGTCACTCTCACATGTTTTGTTGACAATCAAACTCCAAAATCCAGTTTGTGTTTTCTCTTGAGTTTTCAGACAATCTTTTTTCCTGGGTGTATTTGCTAATGTGTGCATTGTGTCACCACGGTAACTCCTAAATATTCCACCATGAGCGATACAGGTAAAGCACCACCAGGATGATGTCACTGCAAAGTATAGTTTCACATCTGTACCTGGTTCATTTGGTGCCCAGTTGGTGTACGTGACCTCAGGGTTGCCCGGGGTCATCCACTGATACTCCCCACTGTTGTTGACATCGTTTAGAGCAATCCAGAAAAACTGATTCTCTAAACTAATCTGCTCTGCCAATAGACGGCTGACAAAGTCCTGTTCGAAGCTGTAACAGACAAAGTCGAGGTCAGGTTTATTTATAACTCACAAACACTCACTGCCCCAAAGTGCTGTACAAGATCAGTTATGACACAATTATTTGAAGGGCCCATATTACACTAGTTTCTGATCTATGTTATAATGTTGTTGCCTCACCACAAACATCTGGAGTTGTGTTTTGTTTCATTCGCACAAAACCTGAATATTCTACCTTGTGATGTCATGTGGTAATACAGGAAGTGCTCCAGATATGTTTTTGATGCGATAACGTTATAACATGGCTTAAAGCTCACAAGAGTAAATTTTGTGTAGTACAGGACCTTTAATAAATACATATTATAGTAAAATTATTATTCAACTGTAATGTATATGAAATAAAAACAGTAAGCAAAAACTACAACTGTAATTACTTATTTTATATGGTAAGAGTAATTAATCAAATTTAGAGAGTGATTTTCAATTATGGCTCCAATCAGATAGTGTTAGTTGACTGTAATAATCAACTCATAATGACATGGACACTAAAGGCCTGGTGATTTGGGTCTAAAGTGGGATGTCTTATGCTTTTCTATCTTTCTGATTCAAGCCAAAGACATCATGTTCACTGGAATAATTGTTCAACATTGCTGACCAAAAAAATCTCAAATTTAAATTCATTCATCATACCTGTTTCTTATGGTAAAGTTGCAGTGATTTTCAAAGGGCACTTGTTTGGCGTCAAGACGATAACAAGAATTGCCATGTCTCCTCCATCCCTGCAATGTTTTGAAAAAAAAAAAATTAATTTCAGTAAAACTTTAACACAAAGAGAATATTTTGTATGGATATGCACTTAAGTGTAATTGTATCTCAGCATATGGCCTTCACATTTGATGGCCCATTGAAATAAACAAAGCTTGAACAAACAAACTTTTTTCTAGTTGACAGAATTTAATTTCTCCTTTGCTAAAGCTTAGTAAGGTAGAAATTATTGGTTATGGTCAGTATATACTTCTTTTGTTAATGTATGTAACGTGACATTTAACTAATCTTACATCATTGCTATAAAACTAAGTTGTTATTATTACTGGAATAAATATTTTCTCAAGGCTAAGTATAGATGGAACTGTAGAACCCACAACTGCAGAACTGAAGAAGTTACTCTCTTATTTTCTGATCTATGTTTTAATGCCATTTCCTCGGTCAGTCAAGATTAACTTGGAAACAAAAATCTACTTTAATACAACACATTATATATTGTCAAGTTCTCTTCTTTACACTTGCACGTCATACACCATTACTAGAGTCATTTGTATAAGTTCAGCCCTAAAACAGCTAATCTCTACTTGGCTGAAGGTAAAAAGTAGGTATTAACTTGAAAACTACTGCTTCATGACATCATAAGATGGAATAAAGCATTTTGAGCTTTGGAAATGTAGACAGACTAATAATAAAGAGTTACTCAAACATGTGTGAATGAAACAAAACACAACTCCAGGTATGTTTTTGATGAGGTAACAATATTATAACATGGCTAAAAGCTCATAAGAGTAAATTTTGCATAATACTGGACCTTTACAAAAAGCTCAGGTCATTTAGGCATTGTAGGGTAATACCCTGACTTATTACTTACATCTTTGAATGGGCACTCGTCTTGTTCAGCCAAGTTGTTAACCTTTCCTTTCTTCTGACACATAAATGGTAACTTCTCATTGCAGTCACCAAGCCTCCATTTAAGAGTCTGTGGAAAACGGGAACAAGTTTGAATTATTGCACCCAATAAAATCTCACATTTTCAGGAAATTACTGTGACCTTGACGCCACATATGTGATCAAACTTATACAGACACGTACTTTTCCAGAATAGTAGATGCAGCTGATGTCCTGAGCGGGCTGGGTGGGCTGGTTTTTGTCCCAATATGTGAAGGTGATTGGGTCCTGGTTCAGCCACTTAAAAACAACAGGGCTTGTGCCACTGCTAATAAGGCCGATCCATACGTTTATTTGTGATTGATCTAATTGAGAAAAAACAAGACAAGCAGGTTAGCAGTTTTTCATCTGCATTGTTGTGAGTGTTGTGTGTGAGGGACTGGCTGCAGTTACATGCACACTCAAATTCAAATTAATATATATTTTTTTAAGTTATACAATTATTTAAATGATTGAATCATTTTATTTCTTTCTTATCGTGGTGCCTTTGATAGCTCACATCAGATTTATATGTCATGTAAGTAATCTTAACGGTCCAGAAATCAGGTTATAATCAGATTTCGAACATAGTCAATTATTGGCAGACGTCAGATACCACTGTGCATATTGTCAGTCTGCACCAAGGCAACTGTGGCTCCATAGGCAGGTATCTTAGCACCACAAAGTGTGGAAAGTGAATTATATAATTTATTGCACTTTAAAAACGCAGTAGAGCCCTTCCTGTATTACCACAGGAAATCACAAGGTGAAACAGTATGTCTTCTGTTTGAGTGAAGAACACAGCCTAAATATGATGGGTTTGTGTGCTAAAGATGTGTAAATATAACAAAACATAACTCTAGGTATGTTTGTAATGGGAAAATAAACATTATAGCATACATCAGAAAATTGTTTAATATGGGCTATTAAAGTAGGATTTTTCACAGTCAAAGTGTAGACAGACTTATTGTATTATTCTGAGAGTTGGGAGCTAACAAAGCAAATTGAGAAAACTGATGCTGATGTCACATCCAAAGAAGAGCATGCAATCTGTATGGAGAGCAAGGAAGCAGAGTTGAAGATGATGAGACAAGAGAGGATTGGGAAGATGATCTGGACATCTACAAAGGAGAGATGACAGGAGGTCCAGAGGAAGTCAAAGAGCAGATTTATGGATTTAGTCAGAAGAGGCCATAAAGCAGAAACAAATAAAAGCAAATAAACATGACTGAACACTAACCACTACTATGAAATTTGGTGCTGATCATCTCTTTGCTGTCGATGGAGTGGAAAGTGGCCAGAGAGGCTCCTCCCTCTGTGTTGTTACAATGTATCAAGGCCTCAGTGAAACTCTTAGGAGTGTCCTTCACCAGTTTGTAACACCAGCCGCTCCAGGGAACCCACCCATCTGGACACGATGTTTCGTTATAGACCAGGGGCACTGTAAAAACAGAGGAGATACTTAATGTTGTCTTTAAATGGCAACACAAACTAAAACATGCAATCAGTTTTGTCAAAATTTAAGTTCTGAAAAAAATACAATAGTCAAAATTTTGGTACAGAAACATATGTGTGCTGTGATAAACGATAATACTGAAACTACTTCATGCCCTGACTAGGGGATCAAAATATTAATATATCATATAATTTAATGTGATGATACAGGGCTGCTGCTTCCCTATATCGCCAAGAGTAAAGTTGTCCATTTTTGGTAGACTGTATTAAATTACTAGCTTACAGCGTTACAGTTTTGTTGCTTGTTTAGAAAAAGAAACTCATTTAGACAGCACATTTGACACATTTACTGTTTTGATGATTAAAATGGGTGCGTTTCATTTTCACTTTGCACAAGAAGTGGTTTAACAAAGACTTTTAGTTTAAGAGCCATGATTTAGGCATTATTTTTAATTGAATCGTATCAAATCGATCTGAAATATATTGTATCGGATCATACTGAATCTAAAGCTCACTGTATCGAGATACATATTGTGGCCTGTGTATCAAGGTATGAATTGTATCAGCAACTTCTTAATGATACCTAGGACTATCCCTGACACAATAATTCCATTAAACCATTTTTATATAGACAGAATCAGTAACCTGCAAAATACAGGTGAATAATTAGGCACATAGTCACTTATTCAGCTGTTTACAGCTCAAATGTTATTGTATTACAACAAAAATACCCCAAATATCTCAATTTTTTTCAAAAAAGATATACATAAGATACAAACTGAGCCCCAAAATATATTGTTCCGGGTTTCATAAATTGAACAATAAGTCAGTAATAGCACTTATTGTGATGCGCCTAAATAGAAAATAAATTTGTTATATTTGTGTAAAAAATTGCTAAGTAATTGAATTTATTGCATTTTACCATACTGTAAACCCCAACATCCCGAGATAGATCTATTTTTTCTATTTTAAATAAATAAATACTATTAATTTTGTTACAAGATGATAGCAGGATGAATAGCGCATACACTGTGCTGGCTAGTTTCCAATTCATGCATTTTTTATTTGAACACTTGAGTATTCCTATGTGCATATTAGACTCCACCCTCCACAGCCATTGGACAAGAATAAAAAAAAGCAAACAAACTAACCCTCTGGTGCAGTTTTAGAGGCATTAAAGGGCTTCTTGCAGATATAAGGCAGTCTAGCGTCACATGATTCAACTTCGTATCTTTGTTGGCTGTTCAGGACCCCACAGTCTGAGTCAAGGATTGTAAAGGCAGGCGGCATCCCTGTCAAAATCACACATGCAAGAACAACAACACAAAAATGAATCATCCAGCCATCTGTGAAACACTTCCAAATCCTTCCCAGTTATTCAATATGCAAGTTTACAAAGCTTATTGATGAGACCTGCTTTAAAATACTGATATTCAAGATGCTAACCACAGACTGTAAAACATTTTCACACAAAACACCAACTCAGAAACTGGTGTTCAACCAAACTAAATCTAAACTTCAGATTCAATAACTCCTGACCATAAATGGCTGCACTAACTTTTCTGTTGGTGGAATATTCTACAGTATAAAATTAAACAAAAAACACCATGATGCCACCAGGCAAGTTACAGGTCAGATAAGAATGTTTTTTGTTGTTGCATAAAACTTAAATGCCATACAATACATTCAAGGCAAAGAAAAAAAAAGTCCATAGAGACAAATGTGTGACTCTCCAGCAAAAAAATAATAAAATAAAAAATACTAATACATCACAAAATGAAACAAAACCAGGTCTCAACAAGGTTCAAACCAGTTTTTTATCAGGAATGAACAAAGACTTGACTGTGTTTGAGTCATTATTACGATCTGATATAGAATAGCTTACGGTCTAGATATTTTGGATCCATAAAAGAGGCTCACCTTGGTAAGTCAGTCAGTGTGGAAACTTATACAGGAGCAAATCCTTGTTTGAAAAAGAGTGAGCTTTAAAAAGTGGGATTGGTGAGGTGGATATTGGACAGTAAGCTTGGCTTTTACAAGCTGCTCTGTCCTACATGAGAAACTAAGAAGAATTAGAATACTTTTTAAATTTTTTTTTTTTTAGACAATATGTTGTGGTAGTTCCTATCATGTGTCTTTAGTTCTGATATGAATCTAGGCCATTCTAAGACTATTTGGGAATTTTGTCCTATGCATGTGATTGTCCCCGGGACCCAGGACACGCTGGAGGGACTATGTCTCTTGGCTGGCCTGGGAACGCCTCGGGGTCCTCCCGGAGGAGCTGGAGGACGTGTCTGGGGTGAAGGAAGTCTGGGAGTCCCTGCTTAGACTGCTGCCCCCGCGACCCGGCCCCGGATAAGCGGACGAAAATGGATGGATGTGATTGTCTACGTAGTTTCAGTATTGATAGATATCTGGGTATTGATTTTTTACAATCCTAATAATGGCTAAACAAAACTAAAACTGTCTCAAAACATGTAATAACTATAGTGCTAAATAGTAAACATATCCACTTTTGGACAGTTCACAGCTATCAAATCCATCAAGGATTTATGTCACTTAATGCATTATTCTGCAACGCCAACAAATCCCCACTGTGCCAAATGAAAGGCACCAGCAGAGACTCTACACTGTGGTCTCTGTGTCTGAAACATTTGCACAACTCAAGTCCTCAACAACAACTATTGCAGAAACTGTTGCAGCAGCAGCAGCAGCACATTGAAAGAGGATGTCAGTTTGGTGAGAAAGCAGCCGATGCAATTTATAGTTGTGCAAAAGCACAGAGAGAGAATCATGCTTTCTCCACAATTACCTTTATCTCACACTACAATTCACATGATAAACGGGAACCACCTTTTTATGCCAAGGCGGGTTTGTGGAAATGCAAGCCTTCATTGCAATAAAAAGATTCGTAATGGAAAAAAAACAAAACATGCTTTTATTTTCATATATTTTTGGTTACATATTATGGCTTTAAATGGGCAAGCAACTGTTATTTTCAAGCATACATTTTGCTAATAGTTTTGACTAAATAATATAGTCAGATCAGGAATCACCTGTCTCCCAGTGGATGTGGGACAGAGGAGAGCCGTCAGACCACTGCCAGCCCTGAGATGGGTCCAGCTGATGGAGGCCGATCCATATGCGTTCAGGCATCCTGCCGAGCCCATTCAAAACTGCACCAGAACAGAACCATTATCAAGAAGACATCAATAATCTGTATCACAGAAGGTGCTTAGGCAAAACATATGCATATATGCAATAATATTATATTAATATTAATATAAGGTACATTGTTCAAGTTATAGTTGTAATGACACAACACATTTTAGTTAATGTCTTGGAAGTTCCCTAAAAAATTAGAAAGATTTCTTGAGAAAACAAATACAGACAATGCCTCAATGAAACATACTGGCTGATGAATACTCACAGAAATTTCCCTTCGACCTACATCAGTGGGAAATTAAAACTAAAACAAGTTTCGACATGTTTCTACTGTACCAAGTTAAAAGATTTAAGATTTAAAAATGGAAAGGGTTCATTTAACTGTACTAATTTAACTCATTACTTTAAAAAAAACTTTTAATACAATAGCATAAATATAATGTAAACAGTTTACATCAAACCAAATGAACTAATCAGTGCAATAAAATACATGGACATATGAGACTCTCACGGGTTTTGGAGTGTAGATCCCCTGGTTTGGTGATGCTGAACAGGTCTCCTCCCTGACTGCGGCATGAGTCCAGAGCTTGTTGCCAGGTCACAGCAGCAGACGGGACAAACTCATAACAAGAGCTCTCTTCTGGACCCTCAAACAGTGTCTGGCAGCCCTCCTCTGTGGATCAAAGATTCTATTATTAATTCATGCATTTTCTGCATGATTTATTTGTGTGATCCTTTTTAGTTTTGCTCTTTCATTCATGTTATATTTTGTACAAAAAATCTGCATAAAAACAACTAAATAAATATGTATTATGAATGTAACAATAATATCCAAATTTGAAATAAATATATTGGGATTTATATGGAGGGCTTGCTTAATAATAATACTACTTTCTAATTTTTAAATGCCCTTAGTTGTATTAAACCAGATAGATAGATAGATAGATAGATAGATACTTTATTGATTATGAAGAACAAAAATAGTAAGACTTTGTCAAATTACAGCAACAAAACTATGCATTTGAGGTGAAGAACTTAAAAATAAAACATTCTAAATGATAACAGACTCTATTATGGTGACTCTTTCCTGTTGTACTAACATGATATTGACAAATGGCAATACAGATATAATCCAATAAAAAAAAAAACTGCAATAATAGCTTAAAGTAGTACCTGGTATTAGACAGGTCCCTCTCTTCAAGTCCCGGTCATAGTCGGAGGATGTGGAGCACCAAAAGGTGCTTTGGTTGGATGAATCTGAGAGGCACTCGTGATACCACAGTTTTTTGTATTTGAAGGGAAACTCGCAGGGAGCTCCAGCTGAGTTTCCATCGGTGGTGTGGACAACTAAACAAGGAAAGGTTAACAAAAAGTACAGGGCAATCAGTGTACTGGGACAGGTCAAAATGTTATATATTATACATTTAACAAAACTGTGTTTTTTTTTTACATTTTGATGACCTCTCTATTTTTGTATCTTTGTGACCTGTGCCTCGCCTATTAAAGAGTAGGTAAGAAAGTAGAGGCAATGTTTAGTAGTTGTTCACTGAAAGCTACCATTTTATCTTTACATAATAAAGTTGTCCATTAAGCTGTTTGACATGTTAGAACTAAAATTTAAATGATTAAGATGAATATTTATGATAGTATAAACAATATCTTTAAAAAAAAACAACAACAAAAAAACGCGTGAATGGTGCAAACATAAATAGAAGTTAAGATTAGTAAACACAAATAAATCAATTAATTCATTAACAAAACAAATCCTGTTAAGGTTAAGCAAAAAACACACAACCTTTAGATAGAACTATAACCTAAAGTAGTATAATAACTGCTGCTGTTAAAGGACACCATTAAAAAATCTAGAGTCAACAAGCACAACATATGTAACACGCAAATACTATAAACAACAAATGACGTGACATGTGAATAAACCAGTTTTGTTTTGTAACTCAGGCAGCTGACAGCTAGGCCATACAAAACCTCACACCCAATCCAGGAAGTGAGGCCAGACCAAAGTGAAAATTCAGTTAGCTCTGGTGGGTAAATGCAATCAAATGAGAGGTACTTTCCATGGCTCTGGATCATGAGTTCACATAAAACAAAAGTAAACTACACTTACTGTGGTAGGACTTCTGGCAGATGTTATCCTGGGACCCTCCTAAAACCCAAGTCTCATTAAACTCCATTTTGACAATAACATTTCCATCACTCGTTGCCGAAAGCCCCATTTGAGCACTAGTATACACCAGGTTATTTGTGCATTTCCACCACATCATGGGCCCAAAATCGCAGTCGACCAATCCGAGTTTCTTGGAGGGAAATGTTAAGGCTAAGCACTTGGTTGTGGCCACATGAAAGAGACGCTCCCCTGAACCCCATTTCCACAGCTGGGACTTGCCATCAGGGTTACAGGGGGCAAGGGTTATCTGTTCTGGGGCATTTGCACTGATGCACTGCTTGGTCCCGGAGAGCTGGATGGTGAAGGCATCGTTATCTGTAAAAGACACAGCACAAGATTACATTATAGTTTACTTGTGGCGCATAACATTGGACTAAAAGATACCAAAAATGTATTACTCAGTGTTACTCAAAACTGGTAAAATAAATTACCGTATACTTTATAGTGTTAGCAAAACATATAAAAGTAAAAAAAATGTATTTGTAATCAGTGCTTTTTAGTTCAGTAGCAGCAATTGAAGTGAAATGTATACACCAAAATATTGTATTAAATAAAATTATTCAAATATGCTTCGCTCGTGCCATGATAGTCTTATAAACCTGTGGGAAACACTGTATATTACTGATTTGTGAATTGTGATACCGTAAAATAATGCAAAATGCAAATATTTTACAAAGCACATTTATGGACAAACCTTTCAACTGTACAAAGTTTTATTGGCTGTGTAATTCATAAACTGTTAATTGAATGCTGTGCAAACATTTTTAGAATAAATTTTACTTTTTTATCTGTCCATCTTGTTTATGTTCATGAAATTAAGATGAAAAGCCATTTTTGTTTGTCATTTAATAAGAAAAAAGGCATTGAAAATCAAAACAATGAAAAGAATACTCTTATTAGCCTATATTGAAAATGCAGTTTGTTAAAAAATAATTACAATACTTGCGCAATGGCCTTCTATGTATTCTATGAAATGGGGGATGGAGTAAGTGTGTGAATGTTGCTTGTGTCTTCTCATACTCCCCCAGTGTGGACAGTGAATTATAACAACACAAGCAAAACATTGTGACTGCAGACTGACAGAAGACAAATAAGAGCTTTATCTGTGACATTGTGATTTGCTTTCAGTTAAACAGTTAGAAGTAATGCTATATGCCCTATTAAAAACATTGGTGGATTGAACAAGGCGTATACAATGAAATTTCAATCAAGATCAGACTTCAGTCATCTCAAATTGTCAATGATTTGCTTGGGTCTTTTAATTTATAATTTATAGTCATTTGTTGTTCAGATACTGGAGAAATATAACGTTTTTAAATTTCTTTTTTTTTATTATTAAAAGTCTGTCCTGTTCAGAATATGAATAGCCTATTGAAAGCTATTTAAATTTATTTTATATATTATGTATTTTATCTTATTATTAAACAGACAAGATAAAGTGAAACTGAATATTTAAGAAATCAGGAAATGCATTGTGAAGAAATATATTGTTATAATGCCCAGACTCACCAGAGAGTTTGAGAGTATTTTACACATAAAATAAGCCAATTAAATGATCCACGAAGCACTGATCAATTTAATTACAAGTACGTGAAAAGCAGGTACATGACATAAGCTAATAATTAAACGAAAGCAAAGAAATATAAAAGTGAAAGTGCCTACATTATCAAACCGGACTTTCCACTGAAATACAACCTAGCGTTGCAAGCCTTTTTGCACTAATTACATGTTACGGTGTATTAAGTGAGATATTTTGACACATGACAAAGCTGCTGTAGGAGGGGAAGGATGAGTGTGCATTTTCTGTCGGTTTCTTGTAAATAAGATTGTATAATTAAGCGTTGGGGATGGTAACAATAACACTAAGAACAAAGTCCACATGTCTACGATTGTCTTAAGAATGTGAAGTAGCACGACTAAACCTATTGTTTTGGTGAGATTTCGAAAGTACCAATCATCAAAGACTAAATTGTAAGCCAAAAAAGTGCTCTTAAAGTGTTAAGATTGAAATATGGCGTACCACAAAAGAAATAGGAGTTATAAAAAGGAGAATTACTCACCGAAAGTTGGAAGTGCGTTTGAGCCAAGCCCCCAAAACACTGTTGTCTCCCACACAATCAACAAACAAAGACAAAAGTGTGCGGCTTGGGACATTTTCTACGCCGTCAGTCACGACCCCTGTCCCAGCGTTGGATTCATATACACAGTGGTCCGCAGTCTCGGGGCGTGGAGCTTTAAATATAGGTCGATCGATGACTGAACTCCAAAGCGAAAGTGATCAGATAGCAAACCTAAAGCCGACCAGAGCTCCCACAGCTGTCAACCCTCCTCCTGTGTGCGCCGTGGGCCGACTCCGACAACATTGTCAAATTCAAAAGGCCGAACGGAAAACACAGTACTTCCGGTTTTTTATTTCAAAATAAGAGTGCGCCTCACACTCGAGACCCAAAAACAAGAAGATTCCGAGTAAACAAACACACAGGTAATAATTTAATTGGAATTTAATAGAAGGCAATTTCATAAAAAGCAAGTTTTGGAATCCTCCAATGAGTTTAAATCTGTTCTGGATTGTGCCGAGTTATTGTTTTTGTTTTATTATGTAGGTTTGTTATCTAACGGATGTTTTTGCTTGGTATATTTTATCAACTTAAGTTTAGATTACATACTACCGCCATAATTTTCATTAATATAAACATTAGTTATTATTAATCATGTTTGCGTTGGATACTTTCATTGTCAAGTTTATTGAATTTTTAAAATTATTATTATTATTTTTACTGTTTTTACAGGACAAAATAACATAAAACAGAATGATCTCTCTAGTTATGGAAGAAGTTGAATTATTAATGACATCTCTTTCTTCCATTTTACAACCTTACTCATCATATTGCATAGCAAGGAGAATTATAATTTTGAAATAAGATTGCAAGATATTCAATCAAATCAACAAAACTGACTGTAGAGCATTAATTTTATTTAAAAATAGTTGTGCAAAGTACATCTTGTTTTGCATCATAGAAACACAAACAAAAACGTGCCGTAAAAAAAATAATACTGATAAAACATTCACGCTCCTAACTCAACCATTGTGCTTAGATATTCTCACTTTTGTTATTTTATAAACTGCTAAAAATGCATATCTCTTATCTCCTCTGAAAAATACTGCATTGACAACAGAGAAAATGTTTAATGTATAAATAGAACCTGATGTATAGATTATCTCCTATCTTTCCCTGGACTCTTCTGAATCTAATTTGGTAAGATTCATTATTTAGAGTAACAAACAACATTACATAGGCCATTTCATTCACCCCTAAAAACTTAATAACTGGCATTGACAACTAAAAACAAGGAATACTATTTTAGGAGTGAATACCCGTTTACAGTAGTAGTTTTGATTTTTTTTTTCTTTCTTTGGGTTAGTCATGTTTAGAACTAATACAGCAATTGTGTGAGATATGGTTTAGCTCTATTAGACCTGAAATAGCTCTGTTATAGACCTGGATTAGACCTGGTGGAATTCAAAAGGCCAAAAGATTTTCTTATGTGGTACTTGGTGAGAAAGGCTTGAAGTTGCTCTTGTCCAAACATGGAGACTTTTACTTGCGTATTTCTGCAGTGCCTAGAATTTTCAGTATGCCATTTATTAAACTAGTGGTGTTTTTATTGCCATATATTCTCATTGTCATAAATCTTGAAAAAGAAGCTAACTCACTGTAAGTTTGCCCCTTTATATATCTGACCTGTTGGCCTATTGGCATCACCCGACTGTCTACAGGGAGATAGTAATATTTAATGCCATAATATGAGAAACATTCCACAGCAACAAAATCTTCATGGAAACAAGCAGGTACCTTTCACAAGAAAATTACATTGCGCACCTTTAAGAACCTATCTTCAGCAATGTGGTAGAAAATTGACAACCTCTCACCACTATCCAGAGCGGTTACAGTTTTCAGTGTCTTTTTACACTTTACCTGCAGAAGACCTCAAAGTTTGGACACATTTAATGCTATTCCCCCGAGCGTGTTTCTAAGTCTGTGATTAAGACGTTTCCATCCGACTGTGAACTTGTTTGTCGATAATAAGCACTTCCAATCCCCCGGAAATGTCCCTGGTTCCTCCTGTAAACAAGGTAGAAAGCTCCAGCCAGCAGAGCAAAGACTACTACAGCCACCAGGACTGCAGCAGCTATAACACCATGATGTAAACCTAAAATAATATAAAAAATAAATGAGAGAAAATATGCAAACTTATTTATCAAATTGGGTAATGAGGGTAATTGAGATTTTTAATGCATTTTTTAAAGATACTATAAAGCAATTTTCAGAGCAATATGTGTCAACTATAATTTGTAATGGGGAAATCTATAATGCAACAATTACACCACGCATATTTGTCTAAAGTATTGCATTGTAGATACTGTTTGTATGATGTTGTGGATCCAGCAGTGAAAATAAAGACTCTAAACAAAGACAGTCAGATATAAAAATGTCACTTTACCATTTAGTGGTTCGGCCTCCACTTCAGCATCTTTATCTGCAAAAAAAACCCCACAAATGATCTGTATATCTGTTTGAAGCTTTTCATTACAAGATTAAATATGTTCTTAAAAAGCAATCACTATCTACTGATGGCAGCTAATAGTAGTTGTAGATGAGATAATTTGACATTTTCAACATAAAAAATTAAGTCAAGGTTATTCTCTCCAATATTAGTATTAAAAATTACTACACTGCACATTTACCAATCAACCATTAGCCAACCATTGTTCTATCTATGGTTTACTTTACTGCAATACAATGTTTTACACTGTGGTGTCCGTGCACCTAGCATATAATATTGAATAATTATGGAAACACTTGTGACCTCTTGTGGCTATTACATTATTCTACACACATTGTCAACTTTTGGAATTAATTGATCAGTGGTGGCCAAAGATCCCAAATAATTATGAAAGCTATGTATAAATAGTGTGCTGATTTTTAAAGAGTTTCTGACATGAAAATGCTGTGTACTTACATGTGGTAGTTTTACACACAAAGCCGAGATTTTGTTGGCACTGAGTGAGGTACCAGACCCCATCGGCTGCTTTGGTCGAAACACACGTATCTGTGGAGAGTTGACTTCGGTCTGGGGGTTTGCTTGGCCAATTTGTGTACTCTACTGGAGTACCATCGACCCAGTTCAAACTTTCAGCTGTAAATAATGGGATATCTTTCATTACTAAAGCTATATAAGTATTTGTAAGTGATATGACTGTTGAGTCTTACTGTCGATATTAAAGAACATGCCCAACCACACGGCCTGATGAACAAACCCAAGAGACCATAGTTGTTCCAAGATAAACAGGTTTTCATTCTCTGTTTCAATGGTCAGCACATCTGAACTGTTCACTAAATAAATAAAAACAGCATACATAACATATTACTGATTGTGCTAACAGTCCCACATGCAGCCTGTAGGGGGAGTGTCAACACAGCCTATTGTCGGGCATAGAAATGAATTCAGAGCAATAATTCAGCAGCAATGACACTGGTCAATTCTAATATCAAATTTACAAACAAATCTCTTTGGGTCTATACTTCTTTAATATATTAACACCAGATACACCAGGGTATTTGGTGTAAAACCAAAAACTTTTTACTGTTATTGCAATTATGTAAAAAGCATATGTTATTTATGTTGTATTTTTGTCATTAATGGCCATTAATGCATATTTAACCTACATTTTTGTCTGCAGTGGTTCCGTGCTTCTTCCAGAGGGAGTCGCTGCACCACGGGCTCAAAGTCGTAGCAAACACTTCTAAATTTCACCCATGTTGAGGGACACAAAACTTCACTTGTGCTCATAGCCTTAGTTACTGCATAAAAAAGAAAAAAAAAAGTATTACAATGCCATATTGAGTAGTTTTAGTGTTGTGCCCCAGAATATGTTAAACACTTAAAGAGGCAGTGAAAAATTATACTTTTTATACTTTTAATTCCTGGTATATGACCTGTATATGCAAATATATATAATTTCTGTTCAAAAGCATAATGAACAACCATCAATAACATTATTTTTTTATGTATTTTATTTTAATTTACTTTGTTTATTTGCTATTTGCGAACTACTACACATAACATTTTATTTTTGGGGGGCTTTCCCACGAACCACAATCTATCGCCAAGTACCCCACATATTTTCCTAATGGCAGTAATTCTGAACTGCTTATGTTCAAGAAATGAATACTGAAAGTTGCAAGACAAAAGATCAACTGTACTATCGTGCTGTGCAGCCATATTATTGTATTTACACTCCTACTCTATTTAAATATGATTGGTGTAGCACTAACTTAGCTCTGGGACATGGCACAGTGCTCCAGGCAGCGTGGATACACAGTCTGCTCTCCTCCAGCCTCCGTTCACGTCCATGTAAACGCAGTCTCCGGTCAGAAACTCATCCTCATCGTCCGTGCTGTCCCAGTGAGTGTAGACCATGTCATTGCCATCGGACCACTGATAGTTAATACCACTCTGCAAAAAAAGACACATTTAGAAAAATATTACATTAACCCAAATCTACATACATACTACTTTATGGCCTCATATGGTTAAGATAAAAGTGCCTAGTGCCCAGTTAAATTATGTTACTTGCATAAAAAGGTGACAGGTAGGAGTGACTTTTGTCAACATCCAGTTCACTATGTTGTATTACATAATTATACCACAGTCTGTGGGAATTCTAACCGCACAGGTAGTCTGGCAACAGTTAATCACTGTTATATATCACTACGCTGTGAGCATCACCATAACAAAGGGTAAACAGATTAACTACTGTTAGGAAAGACTAGTTTCAACAAAACAGAAATAATTGATGCTTTGAACACAATATGGACAGCCAAAAGGTTCAGATTTAAAAGTGAACTATTTTCAATTTGTGGGATCAAATTTAAAGTTTCAAAGTTTAGTCCTTACATAACTGCTCTTTCTAATTAACTTATTTCAGCCATTTCACCAACTGATAATGCTTTTAATAACACTGAAAACTAGTCACCATTTAAGCATGGTTAAAGTGACATACTTTAACCATGCTTAAATGATCCATACACACAGTATAATGAAAAGATCAACAATTTTCATATCCTGCTGATTTCAAACTTCAGCAAGAGGCTTAAGTATTTAAATAGGATTGTTACGTACATCTCGGCTGTAGAGTCCAATCCAGTGCGGAGCTGCCAGTCTGTTCACCAGCACAGTGAGGAAGGCCTGGTGGTAAGGGTCTGTAATGCTCACCAGCTCAGAGCGTCTCTCCGAACACAACTGCATTGCATCGTACCAGCTTATGTTTCCAGACACCACGCGGTAGTTGTGATCACGGTACTCGATCTTCTCACGCGCAGAAGGCGGTCTGTACGAGTGAGTGGGGGGTTTAGAGGTATCTGTGAAAGTGATACAAAAACAGGCATGTTTACAGGGTTAGCGTTAATCGTGTTGTCATGAAACGGCGGCAGTAGCTCAGTGGTTGAAGTCCAGTTGTGAGTTGTTTATTGCAGTCATTTGCAGTGACATCTAAAATTTACACCATTAGAAATGCATGTAGCAGTTACCACAATACACACAAAAAAATTTCAACACAGTCTGAAAAAAACCCAAAATAGATTTAAACAGCACATTTTTAGGAGCCTGAGATCAATACGAACATTCATGGTCCTGTTTTTGAGTTTGATTTTCAACAAAAAAGTCAAATTTGAATAACAGAGCTTCTAACAGAGTAATGCTTTCAGTTAGCTTCATGTCCTCAGGGAATGTTGATGGCGTCAGCTGCAAAGTGTCAATACGACATGTCCTTGGCAAGTCACGTCATCAACACTGCCTATGTATGAATAAGGTATGTGTATGAATGGTGGTTGTCTGAGGGATTGATTATGCACATTGGTAGAAATATCTTACTACCAGGAGTGGAGTAAATGAATGATGACTACAGTATAGCACTTTTAGAGAATCCAGGGTTGTAGCAATACAAATGTAAGGTATTATTCTTATTACACAGTGATGAATGACAAGTAATTAACATGTAATTGCCATAATTACTAGGGATGCTATAGGACACAATTTCCACAGGATGAGATGAGATTGGATCTATGAGAACGAGACAAGATGAGATTTTGACATAATTCTTAATATATACATTTTGTGATTCAGTTTACAATTCTGGCCTCACAATATTTGTTGACATATTTTTCTTTCAGTAAAGCATTACTTTTAGGAAATATATTTAACTAGATATAACTTACCACATAACACTTGTAACACACTGTAAACAAAAAACTCTCACAAGATGATTTTGATCTTGTACCAGCCCTAATAATTATACTTTTAGTAATCATACTATTTCCTATTACAGTGCTTTAAGTAAGCATTAAACAACAAGGAGGCATGTGTTATGCAAGTTTTAACTCACGCTGTGGAGTTGTAGGTGTTCCTCCATGAAGTGCCTTAAAACTGCATAATGCATGGCTCCAAATTGTTTAATGCACTTATACCACAGCTACAAACTGAAATGTATCATCTGTGAATCTGAAAAGCTTTCCACTGTCTGTAAATGTCTCAAATTAGTTATTTCTATGTTTTAAATTAAGCTAGTCCCTACAGTAGAGCATCTGTTTACCCGTTGCTATGGTGTTGGCGATGGCAGCAGAGCAGTAATATGTAAAAGCATTAAACAACAAGGAACAGTGCGTTAAAACTGAATAACGCACGGCTCCAAGTTGTATAATGTGCTTAAGCCACAGCTACAAACTGAAATGTCTCACTTGTGAATGTGAAAAGCCTGTTCCCTGTCTGTAAATATCTAAAATATCACTTATTTCAATGTTTTAGATTATGCTAGTTACTATACTATACAGCAGTTGAGCATTTGTTTACCCATTGCTGTGGTGATGTCATGGCGATGTGTGCAGAGCAGTGATATAGAGCAGTGATTTGGCTGTTGCCGGACTACTTGTGCGTTATGCAGTATTAACGCACGGAAGTTTGACATTGGAATTTTCACTGACCAAAGTATAATTACTTTTAGACCATTTCAGTTTGGTCTTCTCTTTCTGATATTTTTAACATGGAAATCTAAGTAATGATGAAGATGTGAAATAGTGAGTCTTACCTTGTGCTTTTTGACAAACAAATCCATAGCCTGAGGTGCTGCACTTTTCATCGTACCATTTTCCTGTCAGGTGGAAGTTGTGATTATTCGACATGACGACGCACAATGGTTCAAGTTCAGGTTCAAATCCATGAAGCCACTCGTATTCCTTTGAGGTAATAAAACACAATATTTGAGGTTTACTTACTCATAACTAAATTACTGACTAGCTAATTCATTCTTAATCAGGCTCCTGCTGCTCCACTCCAACAGTGAGAGATATAGGACTACACTTAAATCACACTCCATACAACTGTACAACAATAATATCAACAAAATATCTATATTGTGATGTGTGAGTTACTGTGTCCAAATAATTTCCCTTGTGGATCTATAAAGTTTATCTAAATCTAAATCTATCTAAATAAATGAATATAAAAGATTACATTGATAGTAAGATGGCTCTTGGGTTCAACAGGAGACCAGTTTGTGTAGGTGACAGTTTTCCCGCTGGTCCAGGCCGAGGTGTCATCGTTCTGAAGCCCAATCCACACTCCCACAGAGCTGCCCTGCAGGAGCATCGTGATGAAGGCTGCCAGCAACAAGGACAATTGCACATTACATTCACAATCAACATCAGAGCAGAAATTAGTTTAGGGCAGGAGCTCAAAATGCATGTTGTAAATGGCAAACCTATTAGGACTGTAAGGGTAATCGCAACCGAAATTTTAATGGAATTAGCAAATCACACAGACAGCTTTTATTTGTAACCCTGTAGTTCTACTACTGACATGTTCTGAAATGATTATGCAGCTTGAACTGAATGGTATTAGTTTATCGGATCTCTTCATCTGCTTCTCCTCTACTCATACATGTACAAACTTATATATATATATATATATATATATATATATATATATATATATATATATATATATATATATATATATATATATATATATATATATATATATATGTGTGTGTGTGTGTGGTGTGTATACATATATATGTATATATATATATATATATATATATTATATATATATATATATATATATATATATATATACACACACACACATTTTTTTTTTTTACATTATAAGGTTATTTTGCCATAAAAGTACACCCGAAGTAAACAATGACAATTAAAAAACTGTGATATTTATTAGACCAATAATTCATGGTGGAAAAAAAATTGGTGCATTATTGTTTTTTGAATGGGAGAGGATTATGTGTGAAAAAATGTCCTATTCCCATTGACTTTCATTATAAAAACACGTCATTACTGAAAATTTATAATAAGATGGATTCCAGCAGAAATCAGGACAAAAACTGGTTTGGTTGTTTTGATCTGAAGGTAAAGTTGGTTCAAATTTCAGCCTCTGATGTTAAAGTTCCTTAATGTCTTTAAAATGTGAACTTTGAACATAATCCTGCTATCTAAAGATAAAATGCAGATCTAATTGTAATTAATGCTTGTCAAAAAATGCAATTACATATTTTTTCCAAAATCTTGCAGCCCTAAAACCTTTCCTTGTGAAAATATGACAACACTTTTTAATGTTTTCCACCTTGTTCAATTTCATTTTCTATAGCCACCAGGGTCCCCTCAAAAGAAGAGCAGATGGACTCGGCATCAGTCCAAGTCTTTCCATCCTCAGGAACCTCCGGAAGGTGAAGGAGGAGGCACTGCACACACCAACAATAAAATCACTCTGGAAATCTTGACAACCGTGAAGTAATTTGATTATTTATTGGTGTAATTATTAGAAAACCTTGTGTCCAAAATACAGCCATTTCTCTGGACATGCCCCAATATAATGAGGCTCTCGAGGGGTTTCCAGCACCGACACAGTCCTCCTCTTACACACGTAACCATGGAGATCACTGCATGGACTGACCGACCACTTTCCTACAACAAATGAGCAGTGGTGAGGCAAGCCTGTTTTAGTATCCTATTAAAGGAAAGAAACTACGCAAATTAACCTAATTATAATTGTTGACCCTTCTCATTTACACACTCAAAGTTGTATCCACAGTGATTCATGCGTGTCTGAGTCAACTTTATTCTCCTGCAATAATATAGTATTGCTTCAGAAATTTGCGTTTTATACTCTGCTCTGCTCTGTACATACTTTGTCATATTTTTTCCTTAATTTCTGATATAAGTAGGATTCAGCAACATCACAAAGCCATTTTGGCACATATAAAAAATCTGGTGCTCACTATTTTGAACAGTAGATATCTATAGGGGGTGCTGTCCACATGGTCCAGAAGGACGGTTGTGATGACTTTTTCTTTAAGTATGTGGTTTTAAATCAGTAATGCAATTTAAAATGTCTCATATCTAAAATATCGATACACATATGTAATAGATTATAACTATAGCAGAAAAACTAAATATGTCTTCATTAATGGAAAAAGCTAACGGAAATTACATGATACAGAGTATTACTTTTGACTGGGCTTACCTGTAGACGAGGACATGGTCACACACATCCCATTGATCTTTTTGCCACCATGGAGACCTTCTGACCAGTTCTGAAACTCTAATTCAGTCCCATCAGCCCACCTATGATAAACAAGATAACAAGATGGATACTGTAATTTAAACACAGTTTAACTATCTCAATTAATATGTTAAATGTAATATAATACCTGGCCTCTGTTCCTGGTAGGCCAATGGAAAGACCAATCCACCATTCAGTTGGACCTAGAGAATACTGTGAGGGGAAAAATATAATCTTAAAACCAGACAAGTGACCATTATTTTCACGTTTTTACGTGTGGTTCAATATAATCAAATTCAAGGTGCATGGTGTTAATTGTGGTAAATCCCAGGCACAGCAATAACATGGAGATGAATTTATACTTTCGTACTTTGTTTCGGAGATATCTATTTTCTGTGTACTTTCTTCGCCTTGATTGTTGAGTTGCATTTTATGTTGAAGACTCATGTTCGAAATAATCAAACAAACAAACCAAGCAATAACATGTCCATGGGGGCAAGCAGATGGCAGACCCTCCACTAACCTTAAGAACTTACATAACCAAAATTCTCTAGGCTTTCCAGGTGCTTTGATGTGACTTTTCTGCATCATACATACAGGGTTATGTATTTATATTTTACATGCAAGCTCAAACCAGTACCCAACAAGTACAAGAACACATCCTGAAATAATCATACAGACCCTTCGCAGGCGCTCTTTGATGAAGTGAAGCTCTTCTCTGGAGTGAATGGACAGCAGGTAGGACCCCATCATCTGACAGGCCAGAGACACAGCGTCCCAACTGAATGGCTGCTTGGCCAGAAGATACTCAGCACCGCGGTAAAACACCCAGGGCTCACTTTCTGTAGGAGACACTTTATTAATCCAAAGTACAGCCAAACATGTTCAAAGATTGGTTTTCTCTTTAAAAGACCCATATTACGCAAAACTAATTCTTGTAGGTTTAAGCCATGTTATAATGCTGTTACCTCATCAAAAACATACAATACCTGGAGCTGTGTTTAGTTTTATTCATATATGTTTGAGTAAACCTGCATTATTAGACTTCCAAAGCTCAAAATACTCTATTGCACCTTGTGATGTCATGAAACAGTAGTTTTCAAGTTAACAATTAATGTTTACCTTTTGTTCAGTAGAGAGCTGAAATTATCCAAATGATTCTAGTGAAGATGTATGGAGTTTAAAAACACAGTATCACACTTTCTGTATGATATCACAAGGTAGAACAAAGTATTTTTTTAAAGAGACAAACAGTGAAAATATGCAGGGTTTGTGTGTTAAAGATGTGAATGAAACAAAGCACAACTCCAGATATGTTTTTGACAACATTATAACATAGATCAGATGTTGTACCAAAGGAGGAGAATACAAATGATTTTCTTTTGTTCATGTAAATTGTGTAACATATGCACTAAATGTATTGTAATGTAATGTAATGCCTACTTTCCTATAGCAAATTCAATAATAAACAAATAAAGGTACCCTTATGGATAACAGTCTCTTTATAATTAAGGTTAAAGGTGCCATCCGCATGTTTGTTTAATTTAATTTTTTTTTTTTACTAGTGGTGGCATATGAAAATACAACAGCAGCGGGCGGCCAGTCTAATTACAGATGGTAGATCTGAGGAACACTTTTTTTGTCCAAGTATAAAAAAAATTTCCTCTGTATTTGACCCATCTTTCAGTGCAGCTGGGGCAACCTATCAACAGACCCATGTCTTCTTGAGGTATGTTCAGGACTACCTACATGTATAGTCAATGAATTGACAAGAGTGACTTACGCTCGGTGTACCAATATGGCTTTAGGAGCTGATCACCTGAAATCAAACCAATCAAAATCTTTACACTGCTTGTTTTTCGATATCTAGAGTTACAGTTGTTGCTTGTACCTTTGTGCATCTTACAAATCCACTCATATTTTTTGTCACAGGGTTTTGGCGCAAAGCTGTCGGTCATGTGACTAAACACAGCACAGTCTCCTATAGATTCACTGTTCTTGTCTTCTATAAATGATGTCACAACCTATCAATAGAAAATGTATTAGTTCTGTGGATCAGGAGGATTAAAATATGATGATTATTATACTTACTGGGCTGTCATCTGACCATTGCCATGATGAAGGATTTTCAGGATCTCTTTTGTTCAATCCCATCCAAAACCAGCGACCTTCTGTTCTGAAAAAGAGGAAAAATGTGAAATGTTTTCTTTCATCAGATCTGATCTGCGGAGAGGTGAATTCGTTTACAAAAAGTTTTCATGTATTTCTAGATATTTTTGAGTAAAAATTTTGAATAAAACCACCTGTAATTGAAAGAACGCTAGATAGAAATGTTGAAAATGTAGAAAATACCAGATCTGGATTCAACGTTTTGAAATACTATCCCCAAGAGCCAGACTGAACCAACCAAACTCTGTGCCAGGCATAGAAAATAACCCAAAACTCCAACCACAAAGGCCAGAGCAAAAATAATTACACCAGTTGCGGTTTTAAGAAAGAAAGATGTACCAACTCTTCAAACATGGTGCTGAGGAGGCGCTTGACAAACAGCTGCTCCTCGTAGAACTGGAAACTGGCCAGTTTAGCTCCAAGAGCCTGGCAGAAGAAATCTGCCTCCATCCAGGAGCGCTTCATCAGGACCTTTTCATCATGGAACACCTGTACAACCAATAAACAACTTTGAGTATTCCGAGAACACTTTTGTTTTCAGAGAACATGCAGTCTACATCCAAGCAAACAGAAGGTTAAAATACATTGAGTAATCTAACTTCAGAGCTGATCTCATTCTGATCAACTATGAGCAATACATGGAATTATTGATAATACTTTGAATGTCGATTAATATTATGCAAATCAGATATCAAAATGTTAGAATGTTAGCACTAACCTTTGTGCATACAAGAGGTGGATAACAGGTACCATATATACAATAACTCATAACAGAAAAAAAATAATAATTGAGGGACCTCCCAATCTAATATTACCTTAAAACAGTGCAACATCCCTGGTTGTGAGTCCCAGCCAGGGGGACAGGGGGCATAGGCGGCCTTGTGGTCCTCTGTTAGTGGAGTGTCCTGGTAGTTCTCAATGTTTCGTTTACACACAGACAAAGCCTTGAAGGACTGACAGTGTTTAACCTCCCAGTGCCCCAGAGCAGGACCCCCGGAGATGGCAACACAACCACCAACACTCACTGAAGAGGGACAAGGAAAGGGGTAGTGAACATACAAATTTAAAAACAGCAATGACAGGGAGCTACTGGTTTTCATATAACAAAGGGAGCTCATGAAAAAGGAGTAGAGTCCATTGAGAGAAAAAAGATGAGTGCCTGATAGTTTTATTTTTCTCTGATAAGCTCTAAGCTTGCTGATAGTTCATAATTTGAGTATATTTTTTATGCAAATGTATTTATTTTCTTACAAAGTCTGTATCTTGAGTGTGAAAATTGCACTAGCGTTGCTACTATACAAAAAATATAAGTTGATATCAATAAAATATGAATAAAGAAAAGGCTAGATATTGAGTTTAAAATCAATTGTTGTGTCATTTCAGTCTCAATACTCACATTTCATTTCATTTGTGACTACTTCCAATAAACATATTGATTACCGGGCTGGTGCTTGTTCCAGTTGGTGAAGGTGAGAGGCACTTCTGTGTTATTATGAGATATCCACTGATACCCTCTCCGGTCCTCTTGGTCTCTGAGGCCTATCCAGTAAAACAAGCTGCTGTTGGCTCCCTTCTCCCTGAGTAAACTGTTGACAAATGCCTGTTCAAACCTAATAGAAAGTTAGAGATTATTATTTTTAAATACCAGACAATTTGTTTTTGGTAGACAAATTATATAAGTACTTGTTTGCCACAGTGAGTAGCGAGCCTTTGCAGTAATAGTCACTAATGGCATCATCAAAGTTGTGTTCATAGCTTGTCACAGTGTAGCAATGGTGACCATGTCTTTTCCAACCCTACAAATCAAAACATATTTAAGTAAGTTGTGTTAAACAGAAATCCTGCATATTTAGGCCGAGTTCTTCTCTCAAAGAGAAAACACTCTGTTCCAGCTTGTGATGTCATGTGATAAAACAGGAAGTGCTCCACTGTGTTTTTAAAGTCCATACATCTTCACTAGAATCACTTGGATCATTTCAGCCCTGAATTGCCAATCTCTACTGAACAAAAGGTAAAATGTAGCTGTTAACTTGAAAACTAGTGCTTCATGACATCACAAGGTGGAACAGAGCATTTTGAACTTTGGATATGACATCCTAACAATTCTGGACTTCTCAAATATGTGTGAATGAAACAAAACAAAACAATATTATAACATGGCGTACATGGCTTTGGTTAATATAGGACATTTAAAGCATTAGGAAGATGATTACTATGCGTAAATTAATTGTAGAAAAAATGTAATTGTCACATACTGTATATGTTTTTAGCATACCAACCAGCCCTAGTCATCACTTCACCTTTGATATTTTTAGTATGATTTAATTGTCACAAGTTACTTGGATTTGCACCACAATGTTTTTCATCTTTTTTGGGCCCTGTGTTCCTGGGTAGGAACGGGTCAAATGACTCAGATGGATATTCCTGTAAACAGACTCAATGAATGCCAAATGATTCGTCATCAGCCTCACTATGTGAATCTGTTCATTGTGTGGCACAGTGACCAACACACTCAGCCTGACCTCAAGCTCTGTGCCATCTATTTAACTTCTTTGTATCTACAATTAGCCAGTAAATATGGAGTAAAACTAACCAATTTAGCACAAGTTCATCCTTAATCACATTAACATGGATGCAGCCTATGTACTAGTATATATGTCAGATAAGTCCATCCTGCATCCTGCATTTAGGACAAAAACTGCATTGATGGTGAAAGTAAATCCAATGAGTAGTAAATCACAAAAAAACTGTCAACTGTTGCTTATCGGTTGCTGGAGTTAGAAAGAGAGATTTATGAATGAAGTGAAGGAGAAAATTAATTGAGGTGCAGAGTATGTGCTCTCACTATACTATTTTATTTACTATAAATTTTAATAGACTTGATTTTCAATACAGATTCTGATACCATGATAATAATAAAAAAAAACTCTTTATTTTCAACATTAACCCGTATACTTTATTTTATATTATATTCATGAGTTGTTATATCTGTGTAATCCCTCAAGTCGTCCAGGTAGGTTCTATAGTGGAATACATCAATGAGTATCAAATGCTCAAAGTATCTAGTTTCGATATTAGTTTTAGTATTTAATTTCTTACAACCTTAATATGGTTAGAACAAGGCAGGTGAAACAGGACAAAAAAACAGACCAAAAAACACAGTGCATTCTCTGATCTCACCTCAGGACAACCTTCGTCCCATGAATCCGAGGAAGAGACCAGGGTGTGACCTTTTTTGCGGCAAATGGCCGGATATTGCAAAGAACAAGATCTCAAAAACCAGTCACCCTCCTGTAGCGAGAATGTTGTTAAATTTGGGCACTTTCAGAATTGAAGCACATTTTGTACATGTACCTTCACATTGGCTGTGCCACAGAAAGTACCGTCTGATGGAGGGATTTGTGGGGGTTGGTTTTGGTGCCATGGGGCCAAAGTCACTGGTGAACCATCAAACCACTCAACAGCTGGAGATGAGTGCTGCTTCCAGAGACCAATCCACACCTCACTGCTGGACCCTGTTACTAGAATCATGAATAAAATTAAATACTCTTCTTTTTTTCATAAGTGTATTTGTTTAGGCTTTCATTGTCCCCGTATTAAAATAAATAAACACAAAATGTAATGCCCTCCCCCACAATATCCCTTACACAGAGACAAAAATAATAATGTCTATAAAAAAAAATAAAATTAAAAGACAAAATCAAAATAAACAACTAAATGAATGAAATAAAAGTCCATTTATTGCGTCGTTTTGTATTTGCTATCTTTGTATTTGTCTCGCTTCGAAGTCTGCTTGGGTTCTGGACGTCAAAATTCCATAAATTTTTCCATAGACTTTTTTGAAAAATGACTTATGCGACTTATATCAGCCCCTGTCCTCCAGCTGAAATATTATCTCAATAATTTCCCAAACGTGAATCTTTTATAAACTAAATATTGTAGAAAAAGAAATTATACTGTAATAGTTTGTAATGTTTTTTTTTTCTGTTACTAATAGTAGTGTAGTCAAGCAGGCGCCACCAAGTGCCTCATTTCATTTCATTTCTCTTGAGCGACTAGGTCAGGAATCGGAATACAATAGATGGTTTGTATGAATCTGGCCACCAGCCAATCAGCGAAGAGCCATACATTCTGTGTTGGCAACGATTCCTGAGATTGAGGATTTAAAGCCGGAAAATAGAGAATTTTTGGTGACGGGAAAGGACGTTATTGCCCTTCTTCCTATGGGATTTGGGAAAAGCTTAATATAGCAGTTATGCATTACATACATCACAACCAAATAGCAGCGATTGGTTAAATTAAAAAAGTGCCCGCCTACCGTTGAGCAAACCAATCCTAATGCTGCAAGGTCAGACAGTTTCCACGAAGTGAAACCGGCTGAGACATCAAGCTAATAAAAGTGTGTGGTACTGGTAAAATACAGTTAATACAGTTAAGAAACAGTAACATTTGACTCACTGTTTTGCAGGACATTGACGAGAAACTCCACTTCTGATAAGGAGTGAAGGCTGGTGAGGTTTGCTCCCTGGTCCACACAGGACTGTTTGGAGTTTTGCCAGTTTTGTGCTTTCTCCGTCACTCTGTAGCAGTATCCATTATGAGACAACCAACCATCATCACAGTCAGTGGGAATGTGCTGCCAGTTCTCTTTTAGACAAATCAGAGGAAAAATGAGAGAGGAAGAAAGGATTAGAGACACTTCATTCAACAGCTTCATGAAATAGCTGAGAGTGCAAAGGAAAAGGAGGTCGTGAGGGCAGTCTCCAGGTGCACAACAGCTGTTCAGACCAACGGCTTCTCAGAAAACACCATGAACCTTTGACCTCATTGTTCATTCATGGTTCATTCCACAGACATGTCCAATGGATCTCAAAAGAAACCAGCTTCTACAACAGGTGAATTTATGTATCGGTAATACTTTCATTTACTGACCACATATTGATGGCTAACTAATTGTAAAAGGCATAATAAGTGTTTAATTATGCCTGTTAGTTAGGCCTGTCATGATAACTAATTTTTAAATACGATAGATATACTGCTACAGAGAAAAATCACAATACATTACATAATATTGAAACTACTTTATGACACTGTCACAAAGCAGGACAATCCCAATAATCAATTTTAAAATATACAGTATTATTAAAAGGTATGAGCTCCAACAAATAAATAGCAGAATCCTTTATAGCTCATCGTATCGCACTGTACTGCAACAAAAATAACTGTTTCTATTATTGCAAAGAAAATGTGATAAATATTGAGCCCAAAAATAAGTCGACATAGTAATTATTGTGACAGAGCTACTATTACTACTATGTAAAAAGTGATTATAAATTATACATTTAATTTTACATGTTTCATACACTATCTAGTAGCTGTATAAACACTTGCATACCAGTTAGTAATTAGTTAGTAATTAATATGTGGTCTGGCTTAAACTAACTATCTATCTATCATTTTCTTTACTTCAGGTAAAGAAAAAAAAACATAATTATTTCTGTATCTGTTCTATGCAATTATTAGCATATTTATTTATTTACATCATTATTACTGTAATTCAAACATGTTAATTAATTTCTTGTCTTTTATGACTATACACCAGACTTTGTGATTTAGTTGTGTTTACATTTGATTATTCAGAAAGGATTAACCAAGAATCTAATGCCATAAACAGTAACTACTTTATATCAGACCCGAGGAGAATTAAACTGATAAATTAAATAATTTCAATACTTGCATCCTATAATGTGTTTTTTTTTTTTTTTTTTTTTTGTCTAATGTTTGTAAAGAGACAATATAATGCACTTAACTGTATGATGAAGGCTGACAATACTTTGCAAGTTATGACCGACAAAACACATTTTTTCTTTCTTTTTGTTAAATGTTTTGTTCTATTTGTAACATGTTTTGAATGCCTGACAAGTATGGAGTCTTTCAAAAAATAACTTTAACTCTCACTGTATAATATAGTTGTATATAAGATGCCTTACCCAGTGGCTCCACAGTCTGGGTGTTATTAGGGCTTTTCTTACAGATGTAGGGCAGAGCAGATGAACACTCCATGCCCTGCCACTGCTCCAAGTTGCCAGGATTATACACTCCACACTCACTCATTACTTGCATTGGCTTTGCAGGTAAAGCTTAAAAGAGAATAGAAGTTTAAAAAATTACTCAAAAGTCACGTAAAATTAACTCTTGTGAGCTTTAAGTCAAGTTATAATGTTGTTACATCATCAAAAAACCTACCAGGAGTTGTGCTTTGTTTCATTCACATGTTTGAGTAACCCTTTATTATTGGTCTGTCTACATCTCCAAAGAGCTCTAAATGCTTTGTCCCACCTTGTGATGTCATGTAGTGGTAGATTTCAAGCCAACAGCTACCTTTCCATTTGGGAGAGCTCAGTCTAAATATGCAGAATTTGTGTGCTAAACGTGTGAATCAAACAAAACACTACTCCAGGTATGTTTGTGATGAGGAAACAACATTATAACATCAGAAAATAGTGTAATAAGGGCATTTTAATATACATAAAAGCATATTGTTGTTACATTATAGGCCAAGAATGAATCCATTCAGTTCTTCCATAGATAGCACACAGAAATACTATGTATTTCAGTCACAAACACAGTATACTGTACCTGATGTAAAGTTGACAAAGGTGAGGGGTGACCCATCAGACCAGTGCCATCCTTGACTGTCTTTGATGTGATTTAGGCCAATCCACACTCTTACCCCCACACTGGCCAAGCGATCTTAAACAAACAAAATCAGAAGATAACATTTTATACTAAATTTGTCGCATATAGGTAAGTTGGGAAATATGTCGCAACAATATTTTTGACACAGTTTTTGATTGTGATTTGGTTTTAAAAATGTTATTAAACAGTGACACTGATAAAAACTGTAAGAGGTTAGCAGTGTTAAAGTGAAGATGTGCAATTATGAATATTTTAATTAAGGAAAGATCTGGTTTGACTATTATCACATTCACCAGGAGGTTTGACCGCTACACATTGGTGTCTGTGGAGATGTCTCTGTGCAGTTTAAAGAAAACGGCTGTACACGCATGTGCACTTTCTCAGGATCTTGTCAAACTAAAAATGCCACAAAATTAACTTAAAGGGGTTCTGTAGAAACAACTAGAACATTTACAAATTATAATTGTTCTGTTGTTGTTGGCCCCTACCTCTGATGTATCTGAGCTCGGACAGGCTGGTGATGCTGAGCAGGTTGCCTCCTTGGGCCTGGCAGGAGGAGTGGGCCTGGCTCCATGTCAGTATGGTGTGAAGGTTAAACTGGTAACACGCCTGTAGCTCAGAATTTGACTCCCAAAATGTTTCACAGGTAGAATCTAAACACCATTGGAGGTCGACAGTCAGAAAAACAGTAGACAATGAAGAAAACATCTGAACCACAAGATCCCTACAGAGATAGTCCTAAACCCAAATAAATATAGAAGCAATGGGAAGGAAGTAGAAACCTTCACCGGGCTAATTATGCAGCCAACCTCTGTAATCTTTATTGTGGTGATGCCAGAAGGGAGTAGCCAAAAGGAAATTGGTGTTTTAAAAAGCCAACAAAAATATGGACTCTAAGGACTAGTCCTTGCCCATCATTCTTTTCAACATAAATGTTTTGTGTAGGGATGGGATGATATTGGAAATTTCAAGGCCAAAATAATTGCGATTAAAGTTGCTGGATATGAATGGATATGAATAATGATAATTTTATGAATAGGTTCCATATTTAAACAGCTGTTATAAGAATGTACTTTGTCATAAATGAAAACAACAATTAACATCAAGGAGCTTGTTTTCTGCACATTCTGGTGAGAAAATGGCGATTATCTTTGTTGGCAATAATTGTCCCATAGCCTTGAGTTGAGTTCTTTGAATCCTACCATCAACAGGACAGAATCCCCAGCGCTCGTCCTGGTCATAGTGGGTGGAGGTGGCGCACCAGGGCAGGTGGTCCTCGCGCCCCTCAGTCGTGCATTCTGTGTACCATTTATTGTTGTACTTAAACGGAAAAGTGCAGGGATTCCCATGTGCATTACCCAAAAGAGTGTAGATTTCTGTAAAAATAGAATAAAGTCATGAATATTTCTTGGTAATTTATATTTTCAAATAATTACAATTTAATTTGAAGTGTATATTTTGACAATAATCAGTCAAAGCCAAGAATAACTTTCTCAGCAATTTGCAGTTTTCCTTCTACCGCTTCTGACACCTACTGGCATAAACCCAAGCATTGAAGGTTGTGAAAATGTTTTCTTAGGTTTTAACAAAAATATTCACTTGATGTGTAAAACTGTGACCTGGCGGTTCACGTGTGTTGGATCTGATGAGTGCATTACGGTAACTCCCTTACCTTCATAGGGATATGAACAGGGCCCTTCATTGTGACTTCCGTGCCTCTTCCAATTGTAGTAGGAGCTTTTCTTAGCTGTCACTACATCTCCAGACACTGTCAGTCTCCAGATAAATGGCCCGAAAATGCCATTGTCCTGACAGCGCCACCACATGAGCAAGTAGGAAGTGTCGCACTCAAACATGCCCAGAGGGTATGATGTATTCACTTTTAGCCCAAGGCACTGGCCCGTTCCGAGGTTGAACAGTTGTTGTCTGGAGACCCATTTCCACAACATGTGCCGGGTCAGGCGCTCACAGTCGGTCAGTCTCAGGACACCGTCTCCCACTGTGATGCACTTGTGCTCATCACTACTCTCCAGTACAAAATGATTCTTTTCTAGGAAGATAAATGCACAACAAAGTATGAGATAAATATTTTGGTATTAAAGATGAACTATGTTTCTGGAGATGGGCCTGTCTCTTACTTATCTCTTTGGAGATTAAGTCACTTAGCCTTGACTATTCCACAGTATAGTATTAAATGAATCTTTGAATGTGTCTATCTCTGCTGAGACAAGCAGGTTAGATCTGTGGAGAGGTGACCCCATTCACAATAACAATGCATGTTTTTCCAGGTATTTTTTGAGCAACAAAAAATACTGTAATTAAACAAATGGACACTAAATAAGTGTTAAACCAGGCTAACCAACTGAAGCAAAACTGTTGAAGTTTTTCTGTCCATATTTAGCCACATAAGAGAGCTCCCAAATAGTCAGACAATAATATCTCATGAGAAAGCATTTCCACTGTGGAAAACTGCATGTCCCCTGGTCTTCAGTCTCTGGACCTCTTGTTTGATTAAAGTATCACATTACGAGAAGGAATTGTGTTTATTTATGCGTTTAAAGGAATGCATTGCTCTAGACATATGACCCAGAAGAACATTTGGGGGATTTACTCCAACTTTTGTTTTGCCTCTAGTTACTCATTCACCACTAAAGCAGCAACTATGTTATTATCATGTCTGCTCCAGCAAGCCTCTGTATCATCCACACTGACCATCACTGTCTATTTCCTATCTAGCTGTAGCTATTTTTGTATCCTCTATTTTGTTTTCAGATGTTTAACCAGACTTTGTAGCGTGAATCTAACTAGTAACAGAGAGGTGGCTAAACAGTCTTGCTCTCCAGTCCCCAGACACGTCAAATTTTAAATTGGGCATTTCTTTCACTTTTTCTGCTAGTTAACCTAATGACAGGATGATATGGGGAATGTACTCTCTCTGACTCTCGTCTATACCAAAAGTCAAGCCTACAATCGTGAAACTTGGGCATCTTTTCAACACGGCCATGTTAAAAAGTCTGCATCAGCCTTAATGCTATGTAACCAGTATCCAGAGGTTGCACATTACTGACTTACTGTAATACTCCTCAAGTTGCTTCTTGTCCAGGACTTCGGTATCACAGACGCAGCCTTTCGCCAACAACATAACAACGCAAACAATCCCCGCGTAATCCGTGCGCCAAGGCGGTCCCAACATCATTTTACCGTTTGTGGAGCTGTACAGCAAAAGATCCGCACATTCCGAGTCTTGCTAATTGTACTGAGCTCGGTTTTTTTCCTCTCAGGCAAACTTTGGCCGAGTTGAGCTTGTCTTCAGCGGGGGACCAGAGGAGGAGCTGCCCTGCGCTCTCGGCATCACATCGAAGGGGCTATGCTACAGCTACATGCTGTGTGTACATTGAACTACAGTGGAACAGACCATAGCCCAGAGAAACCAAAGACCATAGCCCAGAGAGACCAAAAAAAAACAACAACAAACACACAGAAAATAATTTAGTAGTACAACTGGGGCATATTGCTAGAAAATTAGGTGCTCACTTTTGCAGGCGATCAAATATTATTAATAGTATGACATTTTTTATTAAAGGCAAGACTAAATGTATTTGCTCTTTAACATACAGCCACAAGGGGTCACAATTTCAAAGCAGTGTTTGGCTTAGTTTAGAGGATTGGGAGAGTTGGTGTAAAACTTTTTAAAAAGGGGAATTTTACAGTGTCGTGCAAATAGGTGTCAGGCTAGTTATCATGCAGTACTTTTTTCTTCAAGTTTAAAACCCTCTATCATCATCTAGCCCATTGCTGAACAGGCAGCCTATAACGAGCAGACCTGATACTCTTTAGTCCATAGAGTATTGAAAACCTATTGAAGGTGGTGGCACATAAAACTTCACATATAATGAAGCATTTTCTGGATGAAGTCTATGGGTGTCTTGTCTGGCCAGCCAAAATTATTTTCTTGTTATTGGTTTACCGGGCTAACAATATTTAACCAGATTTAATAAAATTAAATGTTGCATTCGGTTTAAAACAACTCAATAAATAGTGAATGTAATTTGGACTAATACCAACAATGTTTAATTTTATTCAGTGAAGTGCAAATAAAAATATCCCACCAAGACCCAGCCTGGTTTTGAAACAAAAACAACACAACGTTTTACAAATTAGAATCATCAACTTTTATAAACATTCATTCAGTAAAACAGGTATGTTCAGTAGTAGATCACTCAGTCTCCCCCCTTTTTGCAGCTGCATGTTTTACAGTAGATGAATGATCAGAAAGTGCAGCGATAAGAGTGCAGAAGCAGTGCACTTCCAGCAGCAGTCCATGTAATGCCTGTCAATCACAGTGTCTCAACTGTCTAAAACATCCACAAAATATAGGCCCCACTTCTATTTACAAAATCTCTCTGTCATTCACACACACACATGCACACACACCCACACACACATACACACACACGCGCACATACACACACGCACATACACATCTTAAGTGCATTCAAAATGTGGTTTCTACAGTATTACTGTCTTTGTCAGCAGCTTTCCATTGTTATAATCTTTTCTCTGCCTGCGCTCTTGTATGTCACGTTTTTGAAGGTAGACGTTGAGCTTTTGAATAGAGGATTGGTCCCCTGCAAAAGATGAAATATAATTTAAGTTATATAATTTTCTCATATTTACTGTTTTACTATGTAATTACCTTCACAGGTTCACAGTGCACATTTAAACCCACCCAGGAGCATTGTGCAACTTTAACTTTTTCTTGAATAAAAAGAGGATCTTTTCTTGTTAAGTGCAATCTATTGCCTACATAACTGAAGCCTTTGCAGTTTGATAACTGGGGAAATTGAAATAATGATTCTGATGGAAAATTGTGCAGCCCTATTAATCAAAATGTAAATACAACATATTTCTATTGTAGCTAACTCAAACAATTGCATATCTGCTGCACTAAATCAAATGCTCCTTTGGTACAGTGATAATAATTTAATAATAATAACTAAGATTCTACATCAAATTCCCTGTCCAACTTTAAGGCTTGAGGCTAGTACAAGAAGCAAATTCATTATATTTAAAGAAAGGACTTCTCTCTGAATGAACACCCAACAAATATTAACATTTCCAAGTTTATGTCATGGAAAACTCACCGTCTGCCATTTTGCTTTTGCTCTTTCAGCTTCAAACTTTGCCACCTCTTTCCGGTCGTGGACGGACACCAGAACCTTCCACACAGCCAACAGGATCAGGCCAATGCACACCACGGACAGAGACACTCCCAGGATAATCATGGGGATGTTAGGAGGCTCTGGGCAACCTACAACACAACAAAAAGAAACTATTACTAACATGCCTATGACATTTAGCTGCCAAGCGATGCCAATTTCCACTACAACCACCACATTTATACTTCATACATACAGCCAAGGGATTAGCTAACCTAAAAAGATTACCTATGTTTTTATTTCCAATAGGCTCCGTGCACAGTAGCATGCTAGACTGTGTCTCAAAGCTAACAGTCAGCTTTATTAAAATCATAAAACAAATGCAAATTAATTAAAATAAAGACTACCCAATTATTTTATGTGTAGGATACTTATATATAAACGATATATATAGTTTGTGGTGTTGTTCTAATACTTATAATGACTCACAGAGATAAATTTGGACAGGAAGTAATGACACTAACAGTGAACAGAGCCTATTGTTTCAGTTGTGTGATGTTGACATATATTGAATCACAAGACCAGTTATACAGAAGAATAGCTATTGCAGCTATTTGGCTCCATAGTGGTTGTACACTATGAGTATACTAGATCAAAAAACATCAGAGAGCAATTGAGACAAACATTATTGCCATTGTTTGATTGGATTAATTTTAGATTACAGCAGCACATATGCAGACTGATAAGAGGGCTCCATTATTCAGCTGCATGCTTTATTTCATATCACTGTTTGAAGAACTACTCAATCAGTTAGCTCAGGTCTATCTTTTGGCAACATTGAAGAAGCTGGAAAGACAGGTGGGACTAGAGGGTGGGAGAGTGAGACCGGGTTAATACCTGTGATTGACTGGGCTTTTCCCCCACAAAACAGCCCACGTATAAAAAATTAGGAGCAGTAGTGCATTTATACACCAGCGTATATGGACACTGAAACCAAGCTGGTTGAGCTGTACTGCCCATGGACAGAACGACAGTATGCACTGGTCTGAGCTGACAAGCGCTCTTACCCACAAGACACTGCCCCCCCACAGTGGCACCTGGTATTCCTAGTGATTTTCCATCCCAGTACTGCTCAGGCCTAACCCCAGTTTTCCAGTTAGCTTCTGAGATCAGACGCTATTGGCAGATGTTATTTTTTTATTTAGATCCTTTTGATAGATCTGTATCAGGCTATTATCATAAAAAAAATAGCTCTAGTTTTGATCAGACTATAGAGCATAACTTATGGTGTTATGGTGAGTTATGATCGCTTATGGCTGCACATCTTACCATACATCTGAAGGTCAAAGGCATTGGTCCCTATCTCACTTCCTATCACATAAAAGGAGATCCAACACTCGGAGTCTGTCATCAACGTGCACTTCATGGACAGGTTCTGGTCATAATCTGAAAGAGAAGTGAACATGGGCCAAAAACGTGAATCCTTAGATCATCTTTCTTCTCTGCATTGTAAATGTAAAGGGATATGGAGGTCTGTGCTGGCTCGTTAGTTGTGATTTCCATATCAAAGCCAACAATCTGCCCACACTATTGTATTTTAGATCTGAAGCCTGACAATCCTCAGAGATAATCAGCTCCACCTCTCAGCTTGCACATGGAAAGAAGGTTTAAAACAAAACAGGGAAGTTGAAGTCTATTAGCTATTCAGAAGTGCTATAAAAGCTTTGCCTGTACGACAAGTAAATAATATGTTCACCATTGCCCAGCCTGGGTGCACTAAAAGGGTACATTATACACATACAGATACCTGAGTCTGGAGAGGTCAGCATACCAGCAAATCTGTGACCCATCGGAAAACACAGCATTTATTCTTACACTGCACCAAATATTAAATAATGTAATTGTAGTGTATTGGGTACCCTAGAATTCTGAGAAGATTGTGAGCTGGAGAATATTGTGACATGTATTTTCCAGTTTACTTTATTTATTTGCTTTTTAATTAGGTATTAAAAGCAACCTTGTGTATGACTATATCCTAGTCCAATTTAATATTTCATCCCCAACCGCAACAACAGGGTGGAGTAAGAATGAGGAGCTTTCCTGTTGTGTTCACCTGGTGCCCCCTAGACACTGGCTGTGCTGTTGCAGGACACAAAGGAGGTAAACTTTTGTCCTGAGGGATGTCTCACCTCAAACTGCCCTGACACAGGATCTGGTGACCCTACCTGACCAGTCCTCCTGTTAAACTGCACTGAGATCTTTGACTATGACACAAAGGTGGTTAAGAAGCACAGCTACACTTGAATTTCCCTTGGGATCAATAAAGTATCTGTCTTTGTCTTACTGTAATGGCTATTATTTTCTTATCGCATAACTTTATTATATACTGTTCACTTGAATTCAACCTTCCTAACTGAGGAAAGCATTTTTGTTTCTGAGGTTGGTTGCAGAAAGAGGTTGATGCCAGTTCACTGCACACAGAATTTATTGTAGTACAAGTAAATACTAAATACTGTAGCTTTGTCAGCTGTCAAAACTATTAGCAATGTTAAACTAGATGTATAAGCCTTTCCCCTGGGGCTACAACTGATTTTAGTTCATGACGGGTGTAAGGAAAAACACCTGCACAGACTTGAAATGTTGTGTCCTATATTTTTTTTTAAGTCTCATTAATGCCCCAAGTTGTTTTCACGATAAATCAATCAAAATTTTAACTGCGAATATGTGGACTTCTTCCAAACTAAACAGTGTGGAAAGCTGAATGTTGATTTTGTCATTGTCACAGTAAATGACAGATCATTTCATTGGCCTTAGATTTTAATTATTGATGTACCCACAACGTCTATTCCAAAATGAATAGGCCTTCTACAGTTTACAACCCAATCAAAATGTTATTATATTTACTTATTGTGATCATCTTTGTTAATAAATACTTCTGGAGAAAAAATAAAGGGCTCAAGGACATAGTAACAGTGATGATCAAGTTCAACATTTGTGGACAACATGATGCCAAGAAGATCCCAACCTGCTGAAGTGTTTATAGAAATCTTAGGAAAGCTGCACTTTTGGGCACACAGCTCCGCATCCTCTTCTGCTTGGAGGTGGCACTCTACACAGTCCCTGGTGTAAAACAAGTACAAAACAGAAACAGGTTACTCTTAATGATGCTTTGATCCTTTCCCCAGACAAATCCTGGTCTTATCTGACTTTTCCCAAGGCTTCCCTCACTCTCCGCCACCGTCCTCCTCGGAACAGTGGTATCAAATAGCACTCGCCCTGACAGCTGCTTTTAAAGGAGAGAAAGGAAATCTCTTATTCCAGTGTTGGAGACATTAGTTGTCTTTTGATGTCACTTCTATAGGTGTAGACAATTCTGAACAAGGGGACCATAATGCGATACTCTTGTGCTGAAAAGAACAGTCGGATCAAGTAGCATAAAAGGCCAGTGTCTTTGTACGTTGCAGGTAAAGAAACAAGCTGATAAAAACATCTACATTACGGAGCTATTGAAGTCATTTTTAGTTGGAAAGTCTTCTCACTTGGCAGAGCTACAGGCGTCTCCGCATGTGGGGCACTTCTCACACATGTCCCCTGATGCTTCTGGGACAGAGCAGACACACTGGCCGCACTCACAGTTGCCCCGGCCGCTGCACACCGCCCCGTCCTCCGATAGGCAGGGCTCAGTGCTGGTGCTGCAGTTACAGTACTCCCCAGTCCAACCAGGGTCACAGTGGCACTCCCCACAGTCACACACGCCATGGCCTAGAAAGGTGTTTCATAAATCAGTATTAGAATATATACATACCAATGGAATAATATTACATTTGCTCAGTTTAAAGGTGCTATATTAGCCAAACTCTCTCTTGTGAGCTTTAAGTCATGTTAGAATGTTGCTACCTCCTCAAAAACATACCTGGAGTTGTGTTTTGTTTCGTTCACACATGTTTAAGTAAGCCTTTAAGCTCAATATACTAGTAGTAGTTTTCAAATTAAGAGCTACCTTTTATCTTTTGTTCAGTATTGATTGGCAATTCCAGGACTGAAATCATCTAAATTACTCTTGTGAAGGTGTATGGAGTTTCAAAACACAGTGAAGCACTTCCTGTATCTACATGACATCCCAAGGTGTAACAGAGTATGTTCTGTTTGAGAAAAGAACACAGCCTTAATGTGCAAGGTTTGTGTTAAACGTGTGTGAATGAAACAAAACAAAACTCTATTTTAGTATGGACCCTTCAAAAAGGCACTAAGGGGTTAATATGCAATGTGTTTTTGGAAAATCTAAAGTCTAAATAAAGATATGTTCTTGAGCAAAATCTGGACCAGTAATGGAAAATATGGCAAATGGCTGTTCTCTCCCAAGGTAGGGAAGTGTCTTGTCCAAGAACAGGGATTCTTATTGGTGTAATTGGATATTGCTTCTACATGGTTCTTATCCAACTAAATCCCTTTTATTAATATGCATGGAAAATATCCATCAGTCTAATTTTTCTAAGATAGCTGGTTGCACAATGCATGGTGGTGTACGATGAATGGTGTAAATGGCATTTACCTGAACTAGAAAATATGAAAGTCAGGTTCAGATAGGACTGAACAATTAATCAAATATAAATTGAGATGTAATTATCAATGATATGTCAATAATGTTTTTATATAGAAAACTGTCATAATGATTCATTTCTTATGTCATGTCATATCATATTGGTAAGTCCTAGACTCAGGCCCTTTAAATGTACAGAGCTGGATTTGAACCACCAACTTCTTTATGCAGAGGAATCTCAAAATTGCCTCAAGTTAACACTATTTATATCACTAAAACCTGGATTAAATATAATATACAAGTCTAGTTAACTAAAAAAAAGTTTTATGTGTATTTCCCACAGGTAAAGGTATAATTAATGCTATAGTATATCCTATATATTTGGATAACAAGAACTGCCTTATGGCTATAACTGACATAAGTGGGATTTGTCTGGGCCTGTATTACTAACCACATTCAGACATGATGGTGACAAAGTGCTGCAAATATGACACAATAAGATCATATTTCCTGTGGTTTGGCCTCTTTCACACTGACATTAACGCATCAGATATCATCCAGTTCTGAAGAAATCTCATTACCTCCGCACAGCTCCCCTCGAAAACGAACACAAGAGTAATTGTCGCACTGGCAGTAGGGTCCGTAGATGCGTCCGAAGCTAGAAGCATGACACACACACTTTCCACAGTAGCACTGGCCCTGTCCGCTGCATATCTCTGCATCATCGCCAGCCAAGCAGTCTCCCAACAAAGCCCTCTCCTCATTACATTCACAGTCAACTCCAATGAAGCCGGGCTGACACACACAAATGCCACACTGGAAAGCCCCCTGTCCTGGCGTGCACTGGCTGCTGTTACCCTGTGAGGGCGGACCGCAGTCACAGGAGCAGATAGAGTCCAGTTTGATGTCCAGTGTGTCCTGAAGTCCAACTGGTTTCAGAGAGAAGTGACGAGGAGCAGAAAGACAGCCAGGCAGCTCCACAGTCACATTGAACAAAACCTGAAAAGCAACATAATTGCATGTATTTGATTAGAAAAAGAACAAAATCTGTGTCTAGTTTAAAGGGGCACTGCGTAACATTTCTAGTGGAGGGTCCATCACCTGCTTGTCTAGATGGAAATGTTATTGCTTTGCCTAGAATGCTCCACAGTATAGATTAAACCTACAGTATCTATCACAAACATCACTTTGCTACATTACAGTTGAAATCTGTGGAGAGTCGCTCCTTTTCACAGAAGGAATTATTGTATTTTTCACCAATTGAAATGCCCATAATGAATAAATGTTTGCCTGATATGTTTAAGTCATACCATTGAACATTTTAGGCAAAGCAATAACATCTCCATGGAGACAAGCTGGTAGCGGACCCTCCACCAGAAAAATTGCGCAGTGCACCTTTAAAGTCAGAAATAGAGATATCCATATTATTCAGTAAATCATTTAGATAAACACAACTGCTAATCGTGCGAATGCAGCTGTAGGGTTGAAATCAGATTCTAAATACTAATATTGTAACTAGATTCTCATTTGAGCAGGTATTTATTTATACTAAAAAAGACATACACAATCTTTCCTGAACAGCTTTAGAATGATCTTGAGCTATATTAAAACAAGTATAAGACCACGTACACCAGTATATGCCCTATGGAACAAAGACAACTGAGGAATTACACAGATATAACACCACAAGGTAACAGAAAAGGAAGTATTATTTAATACTGATGATCACATTCTTGTTTAAAGAAAGAGTTTATGAAAAAGGAAGGAAGATTTGGGTTTCTGGGTACCATCAGATCTAAACCACATGCTATATGGTCTATGTAAAAAATGTGTTTTAATTTCTTGACTGATTGATGCAGAAAGCAGGAAGTCTGGACAGAAACAAAAAGACAAAATAAGTCAGTTAAATCCATATAATACTGGCTTATGGAGTTAGTCAGTTTGGGAAATACCTGCCAAGTCTACAACAAAAATAAACTAAAGACAGACTGAAATCAGATGGGATGGTGGAAGATTATTGAATTAAATGTATCCCCAGCCTCACAGGTAATAAGGAAAACAAATCTTCAGTTTAGTTGTTTATTACGCAACATAGATACAGCTAATTCTGATATGTCTTTCGCTGACTAATAAAGGTGTGGTGGAGTTTTGAAAGTGACTTCTCTCAAATCCTTTTGATGCTTCTGAGCATTGCAGCCCACAGCCCAAAGTCCTTTAATTAAATCAAAGTGTGGAAATGCATCTTCAGTGAACCAGCTTTCTGCTTTTATCTCATAAACAGCTTTAACGGGGTCAAGATCTAAAGGCAGCATAATAAGTATATCATTCATTTACAGGGATACCAGTCTCTACAAGTACTTGGTAAGTACATTTGACACATGTTTATGTTTTTCTATATATTATTTGGTTTGGTTGGGTACTACCTGTGGTAAATATTTATCCTATATTTATTGTTTTACAGGAGTCAAGTTCATAGACCGTATATATAAATGGACATAGCTAACCTGTTCATAATAAAAAGTGTTCATGAGGGTGCTTCCAAATCCATCAAGTTTGAAAAATGGTCACCTCTTTCTGTGTAACTACTGCAGTGAGACTTGTAATTTTGGTTTTGAAATGTTTGTATTAACCCGCTCTACATAATCCTGGTGTTTTCATTTCTCTATTTTGTCCATAAATAAATTCCTAAACTGTTGATTCTGATACTTTTGAAAGTAGCCACCTTTGGCAGATACAACAGATATTCACACATTCTTTTTACAACAGAAATCAAATATGCTTCAGACAGTTCTTCCAGAGTCTCTTACAGAAGTTCTCATAAATGTCTGGCACTTGTAGGTTGCTTGGCTTTCATTCTTCTGTCCAGTTCATCCCAAAACCAGCTCGATGGGGTTTAAGTCTGGAGACTGTGCTGGACACTCCATGTTTTCAAGCTTACTATCTTGTTCTTTTTTCCTGAGGTAGTTTTGGCAGAGCTTGGACTTGTATTTTGTTATCTTGTATCTTTTTTAACCTCTGGCTGTTCAGTACTTACATTTGTTCCATTTCAAACTATTCAGTGGACTTGCACGACTTGAATTGCAATCAATAGCTGGAAAAATGTGGGTGTTCTAAAACTTTTGACCGGTAGTGTATATCATATGTGCTGGCCATGCTCAACCAGGAAGTAAAATTATAACCTTCGCTAAAATAATGAAAGAAAATCTATGTATCTATGTCAAGTTAATTGCATTTTAGTCATATATATTTGAATTTACCGTTTCTCCAGGTTTAATGTTGGAGCAGCGTTTCATGTCCGTGGTGACAGTCCCGTTTGGGCAGATGGCTGTGAAGGACATCTGCAGATCCTCTGTGTCACCGAGAACTTCCAACTCTATCTCTGAACGCAGCTCCTGGAAAAACAGACAGTAGGTTTTCATCAGCTGTATTTTTGTATACTGTCTATTTATGCTTTCAAACGCAAAATTAAAAACATGACAGACAATAGAAAAGCACATGGCAATTCTGCAGGTTCACTATGTTTTCTGCCACCTCCATGGAGATAGAATTCCTTCTCCTTGAATTATCCATGTGTTTTATAGCTAAATAAAATAGAAAAAAACATAAGTTAATCCCATGTTCGTGCCTACAGGTCTTCATGGAGAAAAGCAGGTGCAAAGGTGGCTGTCTCTTCACCACAAAAGTTACATAGTGCAACTTTAAAGGGTCCATATTGTGTTTTCTGATCTACTGTATTTTTGTAAAGTTCTTTTCCTCCTCACACATACCCAGTTGTTGAAACCAAAGCAGATGTTGTTGAAACAAAAACAAATGTGACTCATCTATTTACAAGAAGATAAGCAGAAATTAAACCTGAAATACAGGTCAGGTCTATGGGGAGGCCTGTTTTTCATGGCATTTTTAAGCAATACAAACCTCCATAATGGAATGAATGCAAAATAGACAAGTTTCATAATACTATGGAACATTCCAGGCAAAACAATCATATCTCCATGGAGACAAGCAAGTGGTGGACCGTCTGCCAGAAAAGTCACACAGTGCACCTTTAAGTATAAAAGCAGAGTAAATATACAAGCTCCTCCCAGCATCCAAACCAGCATATTTTCAACTCAACATGACTACATCTGTTGTGATTAATGGCGTATAAAATGACGCTTCAGATGGGATTACACACTGACACTGCATTGACCTCAGAAGCATTGAATTATTTTAAAATCTTTTATCCCACTTTTAGCATGAGTCATGTACCAGGTGTGCTTTTTACCTGCGGAAAGAGTGACAGCTCACCCCAGCTAAAGTAAAGACTGTGTTTGACTCACTAATGAACTCTGTGACGGACTGTCTGGGCGCTAAAAGAAAGCTAATTGCGTGTTTTCGTTAAGTCTTAAATTCAACCGTATTCTCACCGTTGCCAAGGATACAGCTAAATGGGAAACACCCTATAAAAGAGATTAGTCAGTGCATGATGTAAAGACTCAATTGTTTTCTGGCTATCAAGTGTGGGTCTTTGATGTGGTTAAGGCAGAACACAAGTCTATGTGAGGTTACAGCTGAGGTAATGGGAGCAAGTGGCACTTAAAGAAAGCTAGTACAGAGGGACTTGAAGGAAAAATATAGGTTCAAACTAAATGTAAATGTGTTTTCTGAGCCATTAGTGCATTATTGTGTTATGAGAGACAGAAACAAAGTGACTCCCAACAACCCCTGAAAATGTAAAACCTATATAGATATTACACTAACTAATATTTTAATAACTATAAAACCTGTATTTTAAATAGTTGCAAAATGATATAACAGCTCGAATTACTTTCCACAGGTTAATTAAAGTATCTCATTTTATTTTAGTGAGACTAAGGTTGTGTTCATCCTAGTGCATTCACCATATCCAAACTGGGATTATAGGACAAAACCAGAATTTAAACCTGGAGTAGACTAGGACCAAACAAGGACTAGAATAGAACCAAATCAAGTCTGCATCAGGGTTAAACAGGCTCAAATTAGGACCAAATAAGGATGCACCCAAAGAAGCGATGAGAAATACCAAGGAGAAAAGTATAAGGCTTTGTCCTCCTTTGCCTCCTGACTACAGATAAACAAACTGAGAGACAGTGCATGGACACAACACACAGAAATAAACTTGACACTTTATATGACGTTATCTTTTAAAGAATTTGCCCTTGGGAATGAACAAAAGTAATTCTGACTCATATCTTTGAACAACAACTTCTTTAGTCCATGAATTGGCTTTAAAGCTATAACTTTTGTCTGAAATGTTTCACAGTATGGCATTAAATTGATCTATCTCCATAGAGACAACCAGGAGGCTGAGTTACATGTCAGGTCTATGGAGAAGAGACCCAACGCACAACAATGCATGTTTCAAGGTATTTTTGAGCAATAAAACAATTGATCAAGTACAAGAAATAAAATTCCCATAGAGAAAAGACCCCCCACCAGACAGGTTACATAGTGCACCTTTAAATATCCTCCTGGGATCTGAAGAAAAAAAGTATATATTACACTATATACTTTTTTGGTGATTTTTTATCTGTTTGGAGGTAAATGAACACCTTAGCATTTAGATTTTGTAAATTTTATGTTTATTTATAATTTTATAACATGTCCTATGTAATGGACACCAGGGACATTTTGATGTTAAATCCATGTTAAGTTAACAATCTAACAAAAACAACTTTTTTGATGACTGACATCTCTGACAAGCTTCTACAGTTGCCTCAAAAAGGTTTTAGATTTATTTAAAAATTTAATAATTAATAAAATTATTATTATTATATTATTATTATTATTATTATTATTATTATTATTATTATTATTATTATTATTATTATTATTATTATTATTATTATTATTATTTTATTATGGTGGGGCCAAAAACTCCTATTGAGTTTTTTTTTTTCATTTTATTTTTTTTTATCCTGGACATGATAGTACCCAATAATCCTTCAGCCCTATTTAAGCAGCGGAACAATAGTCCTCCCATTAAGAGTCTATCTCAAAACACTTAAAATATTGACTAAAGACTGGTTAACTCAATGTCCACTATAAAAGACACAAATGAATGGGCCGGGTCTCAGGAGGATGTTGACAGGGCCCATATTATGCTATTTTGTGATCTATGTTATAATGTTGTTTTCTCATCACAAAAAAACTTGAGGTTGTGTTTTGTTTCGTTCACACATGTTTAACACACAAACCCTGCATATTTAGGCTGAATTCTTTTCTTAACCAGAAAACACACCCTCACTAAAATCATTTAGATAATTTCAGCCTTGGAATTTCCCATTTCTACTAAACAAAAGGTAAAAGGTAGCCTTTATCTTGAAAACGACCACTGCATGACATCATAAGGTGGAACAGAACATTGGAGGTGTTGACAGACTAATTATAAAGAGCTACTCAAACATGTGTAAAGTCCAGGTTTGCTTTTGATGAGGTAACATCATTATAACTTGGCTTAAAGCTCATAAGAGTCAATTCTGTGTAATGAAGGACAATTAAAATCTATAAGGGACTTCTGAAAGTTGAATATCTTTAGAGAGAGTGAGTGCACAATAAGAAAGAGCAGGAGTTGGAAGGCTGTGATCAAACAGCGCAGTGGGACAAGAAGAGACATGCTGCCAACAAGCTGATGCAGAGGACCAGTGGCAAAGAAAAAATGTGATAGAAGAAAGAAAGAAAGCAGAAAAGCCAGAAAATAAGAAACAAGATGATGACAAGCTTCAGTTAAATTGAGCTTAATGAAAAACAGATCATATAATCACACAGGCTATAGGTTCCTGTTATGTTTTAGGGTTTACACAAGTTTGGTCAAATATAACACTGCTATTACATTGCAGTGTAGTATATTTCAAATTAAGTAATCTAAAAATACCACAAGAAAACCTATTTAAGCTTCAACGAGCTAAAAATAAACACAGAATAAAAACAGCATAAGGTTAATGCAAACAAAACTGAGTTCCACAATACACAATAGAACTAAACCAGAACTAAATCTGGACTAAACCAAGACTAAATCTGAACTAAATGAGGACAAAGGGAGATAAAAGTAAGGAATTAACCAGGATTTAACAAGTGAAAACTAAGACAAAACACAACCAAGACAAATCTAAGACTAAACAAAAAATATTTGCAGTATTAAACTCTAAACTAAATGAAATACCAAACCAAACACAAAAAATATATCTTTAAAATTAAAACAAATTATTGGTGACTTAAAAACTCCATCAGAAGAAGTCCACACATAGTGCCCACGCCACAGTTTAAAAATCAGAGTATTTAATGACTACAGAAGCAGTGTCTTACTTTGTAGGCTGTTACAATCAGTTCCAGGATGTTCCTTGAATCTTCAGCCAGGACTCCCACAGTAGCTCCAGGTATAAAGTTTGCATAGTTCTGTGGATATAAAAAAACACATTAATAACAAGGTCAATGTAACTTTTGTGGGCAGACGAAATGTGCAGAGAAGCAGGGGCCAGTTGTAACAGGTTGCATGTGGCTCATTCAACAAATATGCCCATAGTCCACCAACCAACAAACACTGGCGATGTTTTCGACAGAGGTGATGAGGTGAGACAAAATGTACTATGGCTGCGTACCTATATTCAATAGTTTAAGTGCAATTATATGATTATGTGCACCGCATTTACTAAATACAAATTATAGTTATAGCTCTGTTTTTGTCCCCTGAGGCTGTTCATCAAGTCATTCAGAAAAATGCTTTGATTATGTAAGATTATATTAGGATGATTGAAGACTGACATTTTAGAAGACAACACTGCAATGTGCCATTCAGTGGTGGAAGTATTCTATTTTATAACTGGTTTGTAGCTCTTTTTATTTGTGAATTTTAGTTTGTTTTCTCAGACTATACACATGTTAAAAATACCCCCCTCAGCCTTTTCAGCAGGTCTCACACAATATGAAAAAAAACAAAAACTTTTCAGTCCAGTTAAGAAATGTGGGGGGATAGAAAGTACAGATACGTAATCTTAAATGTAGTGAACTAAAAGTAAAACGTATCCACTTTAAAATGGACAGTAAAAGTAAAGTACAGATACCTAAAATATATACTTAATTACAGTACTTTACTACTTGTACTTGTTACATTCCACTACTCTATATGAGACACTACATAACAACGGTGAATACCGTGTCTATAAGATCAACTGTAAAACGATCCAGAAGCACAGGAAATAAAATGCAATTTATGTTTTTTATTTTATTTAAAATTACTTCCAGAATATAATTACGAACTTCACTAAAATTTTGTTATTAAGTTATTACACTTTTCCAGTTTACAAATGCTTAAAAACACTTACCTTATAGATGTTTATCTGCTCTTGTGTTACCGCAAATATTAGCAAAATGTTATTCTCCACCACCTTATCTATCAGTTGACCCAGAGTTGGATACTCCTACAAAACCACAAAAAGTTTAATAGGCTGCCTGCTCTTTGAAAAACAAGAAGTGAGCTCATGTCCTCATTTACCTGCTTTGTGGACATGTAGTATTCATTATCAGAGTTCAGGTGACACTGTCCATCGTTGGGGACCACAATACCGGCCATTTTACTGTCCATCCCAAAATGTGAGTCTGCATCACTCACAAAGACCAGTAGACGCATTGAGTCGTTTCTCCACCCAATCCTCTCCTGATAAAACACAATAAGCAGCTCATTATAGAAAAATATAGTACTGCACATGTGTATTGGTTATTCTCAAAACCTGACTATTTAGATGGCATCGTGCATTCAATTACATTTATAAAGATGATGTTAAAAATAAGAAGCAAAATAGTTATTTTACTCTAATTGCTGTATGCAAGTTTTGAAATTAATGCTCTTTACACATGTACCGAAACTGCACTAAAATAAACCATTGAGAGACCACAGACCATATAGGCACTAGTTCTTTTCCACGTTTTATTCAATGTGGAAAACTATAACTAATAATCTGTTCATAAACTGTTCAACTGTTCTACAAAATGGCATGAGAAGGATCTACTTCCTTAAGGTCTGGCAGATAACTGCATCAGGCCAAGTTACAAATCAGATCCGAGGAAGGGTTACAGTCTCAAGGATATATGGTTTTCAAATAAAACAATGCAAGATGAATGCAATACTGGTAAACATTCTAGGCAAAGCAATAAGATCTCCATGGAGACAAACAGGTAAGTCAAAATAGTGTTAAATTCCTTCAGAGTGTGCTGGATCCAAACATTTTAATCTGTTGTTCAGTCTGTTGTGTTGCCCTCTTCTACTTCTTATTGTATGAATATGGGTACAGATTACCCCCTTAACTATAGCATCAGGCAGAGTACACCAACATACTGGCCAGTTAAATGCTATTTCTATTATCTTTAACATTCTGACAATACATTAAATACTTCTCATGTCATATTGTGCAATCTGTCATAATTTGATTCAAATAAATGTAATGAGTAATAGTTAGGCTGATATTAGTAGTATAAGTAAGTAAATATAGATGATACTTGATAATATAACCAAACTCTAAAGCAGAATTATCCCCCAAAAAGTATTCTAAATGAACAAAAATATAAACTGCAATAAAGTAAGTAGTAGCTAGTAAGTTATGTAGTTAGTTTGTATTCAGCACTCTACAACACAATACAGAAAAATAACAAAATTTTTTCCAGTAGTGCAAGGAAAAAGTACCCACAATAAGTACTAACCCAAAATGATTGTTGCATCTGTATCTGAATGATAAGTCGATATATTATTCATTGTGACAAGTATAGTCATAGTTATAACAGTGTAACAATACAACAACTGTAATTTACCCCACAGACTGCTGCCTGCATGACCGCATCAAAGCCACACTCTGGGACATCGATGTTTGCGGATACGTGTTGCCGTGCCACAATCTCGTTGAACTTGTCCGTGCTACTCGTCAGAGAAAGGACGTGTTTATATCCAAATGTTGGCAGGCAGTGTGAATTCACACTACTGTCAACACAAGAAAGTGAAAGTTGAGATGCTGAACTTTTGGATCCAGTTTTAGAAAAGACTTTTGAGAAACTTAATACCTGCAAGGGTTGGCCAGTTCTTGTTCGGTGATCTTGATAAAAGGTAGGACAGGTTTCTCCACAAAAGAGCCAAAGCCCATTCGGAATTTACTGGTGAGTTTAGCCATTTCTTTGGACAAGGAAGAGCCCAGTTCTTTAATCATCTCCAAATCGTCGATCATGGAGGCGGACAGGTCCATGAGATAATAAACATCCACTGGATAGTCCTCTGTGTGCTGCACTTTAACTTGGAAAGTGACCCGGCTACCTGCATGATAATAAAATCACCTTATTAAACAAATAAACAATATTTGACTGTTGTGACTGGCAATCGATTTGTTCATGTTGTACTGCATGTTTAAATGTTTTTTGGCAGATAGAATAATCCTAAATGCATAATTTAACAAAAATATTGTAATATTATAAAAAATATAAAATCCCATTCTAAATAAAACAGAAATTTAAAAAAAAAAGCATTTTATTTCTCAGTCCAGTGCAATAGGGTCTTTTCAAAAACAGGAAAGTCACATTTAATGCCTCTAAAAAATTGCATCATGAATGCCATGCCAAATATTCCTTCATTTCAGTCAAATACATTGTTTTATAATTTGCCCTAACTGACCTAGGGATGTATTATCCACCTTTTTCAGTTCTGATACTGATTTCAATACTATGGCTTTGTGGCAACCAATATCAGATGCAGAGAATGAGAACAGCATTTATTTTGTTTTAACAAAAATGAAATGAGACAAAACATGTTATGCATAGCTGTTATTTATCTCTCAAGTAACCACAGAACAAATTTGTACAAATAAAAATGAATAATTCAAACATTATTAGACTTTCTGGGCCAACGACAACCAGTGAATACTCAAATTATATCAGTACATCCAACCAGAATATCAGATATTTACTAAGCTGATATCCGATCCAGCAAATTTTAGGGGAAAGTATATCTGGATGCATACCAGGACGAAGGTTGAGAGTCATCTTTTGTGGGGAGATCTGGGTGCCATTGGTGTCATTGGTCTTCTTCCCGAGAGGCTGGTCCTGGAGGGTTTGGCCATTGGAAACTGGAAACTCCACCTGGTCCTTTGCACATCCCTTTTCTAATAACTTATCCAGTGTGTCACATCTTTCACCCATCGAAAACCAGTCTGTGAAGTTCTGAAGAATTGTAAAAACATACAAATACTACATTACTGAGATGTACTTTTGAGGTTATTGTAGGTATGTTACTGCTAAATTAATTGTATGAAGCACATTTCACCTCTAAACAATTAATGCAATGAGCTATGAGTTATTGTAGAATAGCACCTGGCGTAACATGTATATAAACCTAATGGAATCACAACTTTATAATGCACACTAAACAAAGAGCTGATAACACCTTTACAACAGATTCTGGGCATTTCCCTTTTTTTTTTTTTTTTTTTTTTTTTTTTTTTACAAGAGAGTAAAGGTTGCCATATAGGACCACAGCTACCTTGGAAGATTTGTTTCATTGTACAGACATATATAATAACATCGCTATCTATAATGAACACACACCAGCTGCTTGTTTATGTTTTTTTTTTTTTTCCAGTTACAGGACTTGCACTCACCTCCTGCTTGCACCAGGCACAGTGGGGACTGAGCTGCAAACACTGATCACAAGTCACTGAGCTGCCATCTGAACACGATCCTGCATCAGCACATTTTAGCTTTATTATATGCATTATAAAACACTAAAATCTAAGCCATGCATGTAACTATAACAACACAGTTTTGAGTAAAATTTTTAACAAGATTCTTTAATGTGATAGTCATAGTAAAAGGCCGATGTTTTAAAGGAGCCAGAAAAACGCACATTCAATTTATATATGGCTTTTAGTGTTTTAATAGTTCCACCTTAAAGTTATGTGTAATAATTATATAACCATTCATAATGCAATTGAGAGATACATGTTTTAAGTTACTACTACTAGCACAGTAGTAGAGCAAACAAATAATAGCCTAATATAACTAAATGAGTGTGGGCAGTCAACTTTCCATTTCCACAACTGAATTGTTAAAAATGGAAATATGGTTCCTATATTTACACAGACAGTGACAATAGTCTGCAGCATGCTGTTTTCATAATAGTATTTCAGTTCTGCATAGCATCAGTTTTGCATATAGGCCTACTCCAAACTCCCACCTGCTACAAACTCGTGTTAAAATCATACCAAATGTACCTGCTTCTGACTCATGATAGCATAGTGCCCTAATAAAAGAAACGTAGTTACTGTTTCTTTCAGGAATTTAGTCTGCCAGCAAAACATGAATAGCCTTGAAAGCAGATAATAAAATAAAGTTACACCCACATTCAACAAGCTGCATTCTTTTTTTTAATCATATACACTGACTCTCATATCCAACTTTTTCTTACCCTCCACGCTGTAACTCCAGTAGCTCAGAGTCAGAGCCAGCAGAAGAAACCCCATTAGTCCGTAAGGTTACTGCAAAACACCACACAGCATTGGCACAGACTTTCCACGTTGTTTCATATTTACAAAGAGAGCAGCCAACCCTCCTGTCCCGTGTCATGTGTCCCGGGAGCAGAGCGGAGAGGAATGAGCCGTGCTGCGACCTACCTGCGCTGGCGTGGGCGGGGCCTGTTCTACCTGCGCTACCTATGGGCGGGGCCTATTCTACCTGCTCGTCGCTACTGCCTTTTATGTTCACTTCCGCTCAGGTGAAAAGTGACAGGGCAGCGCGTCAACATATCAACTCAGATTTGACGGTAATTTCACTCAAGGTGATTCACTGATAACTGGAAGTGTGGAAATGTGGACTAGCTAAACAATTAAACCTCACCAATTAGCCCGTCACACATTTAAGCTAGGCTACATTGTTAGCATATGCTTATATGCAGGCTATAGGCTATTTGGAACATTAGGACGTATATAGAACCAACATAATAAGGCTAATATTAAAATGTATTTTATCTTTTCTTTTGCACAAAATTCACAATGTACTTAATAATAGGCTAAATGTTTGTCAGTAGTGTAGTGTAGTTAATGCAATTATTTATGATTTAATTGACAAGAGGGCGCCCTTAAGTATTTTGACTGTAATAGTAGTAGCCAATTTATGGCAACAATCAGTCACTATATAGCACCAACCTCTAACAAAACACATTTATCCAAAAGCCTAAATAATCTAGGCCTATTAGCCAATGAGACATCAATCTTTCTGTAGCTCAACTGAGATGTATATGTATTTATATAACAGATGTATTTTTGTATGTTTGAGTATTAAAAGGAAACCAGAACTTGAACTGTGGTCTATACAGAGTAATAAAGTACAGACAGGCTACACCATGAGCAAACAGCTCCAGACGCCATAAAAGAAGTGTTAATCTTTAACACTGAATTCTGCCAGAGATAAATCATTGTTATTGTCATACAGGAATACATTTGCACTTGAACGTTCTCTGGAGACATGAGGGATGAGTGTCTCTGTGACTGTGACAAGGGGGACGAGGAGGGAGCTGCGTAGGTGTTGCTCATTGACAGCTGCTCTGTGAATATCGTCCCAACTCCCAAGAATCTCACAATTCAGCACCACGCCCCAAAGGATCTGAGTAAGTCACATCTGCCACCCCAAAAGTCCCCCGCAGCTTCGGGCCACCCACTACCATCCCATCCCGCTACCATCCCATAACGTCCCGCTACCATCCCATATCATCCCGCTACCATCCTGCTCTCCTTATACTTGATGTTTGTGATAAATGCCTTGTCTCAAGGCTTTGTGTTTATAATCCAGCAGCTTTTCCCAAACCATCCCCCTCTTTCATTTCTACACTTCACTCCTGTCATTTTGTCTGCCCCAGTCTACCTGAGATTACCTTTGGTGTAGCTCCACCCATTTCATGTTCCTCCTTCTCCTTCCTATTACCTTGATGTTCTTTACTCAACTTATATTAATCAGTATATACCAAATAATGCTTAATGTCAGATATTTTGTCCCAAATGTCAGATATTTTGTGTGACAAAATATATAATTGTGTGACCGTTATATAATTGATATTGCAATCATATTGTACATTAAGGTCGTTGAATTAAAGTTATTAACGATCTACTCACAAAATTGGTAGAAATAACGCTACTTACATTATTGTATGCTATTAACTTAATTGTCCTGTCATTTATTTACAAATTAAGTGATAATGAGCATAAAAACAGAAAATAACTGGTTGTCACTTTTGACTTTATGACCTGTCAGGCCTTTCATTCATTCAAAACCTGACTTGTTCACACTTTTAACAGACTGTACCAACATGAAAACAAACTGCCTCTTGGTAAAATAAAACTCTCTATATAATAATAAATTAGTAATTTGCATAGTAAAACTTATAAACACAGTTAAATACCAGGTGTAACACTTATTGGTGCAGTAATCGCTCTCACCTTCAGGGGCGTCCTCTGAAAACATGCTGTCCGTGCCGTCAGACCGTCTCCGTCGTCATAGAGTGAAAATGGTGAGAAACAAGAGGAGAGGAGCTGCTTTGGCCCAGTACATTCGGTCCGATTCTGCCCCCGTGGAAGATGGGTAACAGTAAACCTATTGTAGCGCAGTCCCTTTATGAAGCAGGGCTCTTCTGGGTGACCCCTCTGCCCATGCTGCCTGCCCCATGCGCTGGGGTCATGAGTGGGTGTTAGCACAAGCTCCGACTCTCTCTCTCTCTTTCTCTCTCTCTCTGATACTGACTGACAGTAACAACTGCCGGCTGTGAGGTTTATGGACCTCCACCACGTTAGCAGGCGCCACAATACAATATGTGTACAGTATATCTACAGTAATTAAACTGATTTGATTCATCTTTGTACTGACTCGTATAGAGTTATGATTGATTAGGGCAAGTCATTTTTATTTGTGTAGCACGGTTTATGCAACTACCTCATAGTGATGACAGATGAAAACTCAGATAACTTTGTCACATTTATTGATTATTGATGATTCATTTTTAGGATCTTTTCAAATAATTATACATAAAGTGCATACAAATCCATAAAAAATTATCAATTTAAAATACACACATTTTAATTACATAAAATAAAATGCGATTAAAGGTGCAGTAACAAATGTGGTTCAAAAACATTCTTAGTGTGAGCAGGGTAGTGTCTCCACTGATCTGACCTGAACTCTGTGGCTCAATGGTGTCACCTGTTTGTTTCCATGGCGATAGATAAGTTACGTGCCATACCATACTCTGAAACATTCTAGGCAAAGTAATTACATGTCCATAGAGACAAGCTGATAGCAGACTTATCAGGAAAATTACATAGTACATGTTTATAAATTACAGAATAAAACACATTATTTTTGTATTGCAAATCTGACTTTTGTGTCATGTTTCACAGAAAATACAATAATACAATAAACAGAACACAGTCATACATTCCCATTAATGTGATCTTGAATCAATTATACATTTAATATATGTAATGTGTTGAATAAATAAAACCCAAACCAATCAAAACTACTCAAATCACTCTAGATATTATTATTATCAGTGTAAATCTTGAACAGAATTTGATTTCAGGCAACAGGGGGTGTAAAAAGGCTGCAAAAAAGACACCCCAAATTAAATTGTTTGAAAATTAAGTTTGTCCAAGTTCAATTACTTCCTGGAGTAATCGCGGGCCAAGGAGAGGAGTATCACTGTAGTAATCCAGCCTCCTTCAAGTGATGGTATGGCAGGAATGCAGGTAAACAAATAAGATCGAAACTCAATAATGGAAGGCAGGATATGGACTTTAAACTCCTTATTGTGGTGGTAATAAGACCCGTGTATATGAGCAACCAGTAGAATTTAAAGGGTTAATAATTTAGTCCATTTTAGTGAGCCAAGAAATATGGTATATTGTTGTAGAACAAATTGAATATTGTTTTTAATCATGTACCTACGTGTATAGTGTCATTCCAATATGATTTGATCTACCCAAAAAATCCAGTAACTACACAGTGGTACTGTGTAACTTTTCTGGTGGAGGGTCCACCTTCTACTTGTCTCCATGGAGATATTACTCTTTCACCTGGATTATTCCACAGTATGGAAATAAACTTGGAAATCACATTGGAAACAGGTTAGTAGTCAGATCTATGGAGAAGCAAGTCTGCACATGGTAAGAATTCTTGTTTTTTAAGGTATTTTTGAGATATAAAACACCTTGATTGAACAAATGCAAGGGAGATATGTCTAATGCTCTATGTGGTGGATACTTCTGCCACCACTCCATAGTGTCAGTATTATTTAATTTTCATTATTATTTACATTAAGTTAATTACACTACACATAATTTAATTCCGTTATTTAGACTTATGTTCTAATTTGAGTGCACGCATTTTAGTTAATATAAGTCTAATTTACTTACACTTGTTCTTTTTGTTTTTTTGAGCACCAGACGGAGGACCCTGGGAGAGACCATCAGGACTCAGCAAAGGGGGGAGCACTATTTAGTTTGTTTTACTAAGTTAATTTGTTTAGTTCTGTTAAGGTCACATTATTATCACTTATTATTTTCTGTATTATAATTATTTGCTTTTTTGTTTACTTTGATTAAGTTATTGGTTTAGTTAGTTAATTAGTGTAATTCCTCCCTCTTGTGTTTAGCTTTAGTTGGTCCTCAGGTATTTAAACACACCTGCTCCTTTGTCTGGGGGGGTTAGTTTTGTTCTGTTCAGCTTGATTTTGAGTTACCCCAGTTGGGCCCAGCTTTTTTGTTAATAATTTGCCTAATTTGAGCCTTTGTTAAATTATATCTTTTTTGGCTTTATTAAATTTAAACTTATTTTTATACCTTGTCTTTGCCTTTCTGTTTGGTCCACTACACTCTACAATGGAACATTCCAGGTGAGGAAGTAACATCTCCATGGATACAAGCAGATAGCAGACCCTCTACCTTAGAAGTTACACAGTACACCTTTAAACACAAACTCAGCACTATTGACATGATTAGATATTTTGTGTTTTCCATGCATCTTTTTTTTTTTTTTTTTACTATATGCCCTTCCTGATCAAACGCTCTTAATTATTTTGTCTTGGGGCAAATGGCTACGATGGTTTGGGACCAGATTTATGACAGGAACAAAACACTTTTTATTTGATTTGCTGCTAAAAACCTGATGATTTTTTACACAACAGGTGGAAGTCATAAACGTGAAGCATGTGATGTGTTACTGTAATATGGATTTTCACCAGCAGATATCACCAGAAAGATGGACCAAGAAAAATCTAATCTAATCCACATAAAGTCAACTTTTCTGATCGGTACTTATTATTGATACTTTGCACTGACATCATGTGGGTGCTCTACATGTAGTTATCATGATGACACAATGCACACATTTGCAAACATAGCCAAAGAAGATTTAAGATATTCAAAAAAGGTGAGCGTGACTAACTGTAAAAACTGTAGTCCTTTCTGGTCAAATTGTGTTAAAGCACAACTCAGAATAAAGTCTAATTTGAGCCACAGAATTTCAGATTGAGTAGTACCCTCAGTCAACATCACACCCCCATTGACCCCTTGT